TCGAGCCTAATAATGCTCTCAAGCTCTCAAACCGGTCTCAAGCGAAATCTGAGAAACCCCATGACCTGTAACGTTACCTCAAATGCAACCAGCACAGCCTTGAAGAAGATTTTATAAGCTGTTTCAGTGGCTAATTGTTTGGAGTTAGAAATATATAACTCGCGCTGCATATTTAGTAATTTTGCCTCAGATACAGGATTATTCATTCGCTTTAACAAGCAGGTTGTTCATTACCACGGCAACCGCTTGCGTGTCATGCTGAATGCGATTTTCGTGTTTAAAAAGTAACTATACATAATAGACGGAAAGATGCAGATAACCATACATTATTTCTATTCGTTACGATATTGATATGAACTGATGTTGTCAAGTAAGCTTCATGCGTTCCCCGTTGCGAACGTGCACTCCTCTAACGTTAGTCTAAACTGTAGTCTACAGGTGCTGCCTGCACTGCTAGTGACTGCTGCTCATTTCCCCCCGAAAATATCATGTTAACAACAACACTTTAGAAAACGTACTTCCTTTGTAGATCCTCTTGATCTGCTTTCTCCATTTGTCTTTGACTAATCTCATTGTCTCAGTCTCACGCACGCTGCACGCGAGTTAACCATGTTCGACACATTTAACGTTAACTGGGAGTGGGGCCGTCCGCACTGTTTTTATCCATTGTAGGGACCGCTCACGTTGTGTTTTCGGCTTTTGAAACGGAAAGAACACAACTCCTCCAGACAATCTCTCGGGGTATCTAGTGTCCGATTTACAAACGCCGTGGGCGCACCGCTTCACCATCTTGCTTGGAGTCAATGTTTGACGGACCTGCTCACATAGTAACGGTTGCTATGATGTGTGATTGGACAATAGCCGTTTTGGGGGAGGGGCCTGCGAACGGTCAATTGTCTAATCAACCAATCACATGGCAGTTGCTTCAATGCATTTAGGGGTGTGGTCCTGGTCAAGACAATCTCCTGAACTCCAAACTGAATGTCAGAATGGGAAAGAAAGGTGATTTAAGCAATTTTGAGCGTGGCATGGTTGTTGGTGCCAGACGGGCAGGTCTGAGTATTTCACAATCTGCTCAGTTACTGGGATTTTCACGCACAACCATTTCTAGGGTTTACAAAGAATGGTGTGAAAAGGGAAAAACATCCAGTATGCGGCAGTCCTGTGGGCGAAAATGCCTTGTTGATGCTAGAGGTCAGAGGAGAATGGGCCGACTGATTCAAGCTGATAGAAGAGCAACTTTGACTGAAATAACCACTCGTTACAACCGAGGTATGCAGCAAAGCATTTGTGAAGCCACAACACACACAACCTTGAGGCGGATGGGCTACAACAGCAGAAGACCCCACCGGGTACCACTCATCTCCACTACAAATAGGAAAAAGAGGCTACAATTTGCAAGAGCTCACCAAAATTGGACAGTTGAAGACTGGAAAAATGATGCCTGGTCTGATGAGTCTCGATTTCTGTTGAGACCTTCAGATGGTAGAGTCAGAATTTGGCGTAAACAGAATGAGAACATGGATCCATCATGCCTTGTTACCACTGTGCAGGCTGGTGGTGGTGGTGTAATGGTGTGGGGGATGTTTTCTTGGCACACTTTAGGCCCCTTAGTGCCAATTGGGCATCGTTTAAATGCCACGGCCTACCTGAGCATTGTTTCAGACCATGTTCATCCCTTTATGGCCACCATGTACCCATCCTCTGATGGCTACTTCCAGCAGGATAATGCACCATGTCACAAAGCTCGAATCATTTCAAATTGGTTTCTTGAACATGACAATGAGTTCACTGTACTAAAATGGCCCCCACAGTCACCAGATCTCAACCCAATAGAGCATCTTTGGGATGTGGTGGAACGGGAGCTTCGTGCCCTGGATGTGCATCCCACAAATCTCCATCAACTGCAAGATGCTATCCTATCAATATGGGCCAACATTTCTAAAGAATGCTTTCAGCACCTTGTTGAATCAATGCCACGTAGAATTAAGGCAGTTCTGAAGGCGAAAGGGGGTCAAACACAGTATTAGTATGGTGTTCCTAATAATCCTTTAGGTGAGTATGTATATATATATATATATATATAATTATCAAATTAAAGTAACATTTAAAAACAACAAAAACTAATTCAAAATATTAATAAATCCACAAAAAATGTAGTAATGTAGTAGTTGTAATAAAAACGATTCAACCCCCAATGCAAATCAGGCAAAAAAAAAAAAAACAATGGGGCCGCCTCCTCAAAACAATGGTAGGGGAAACACTGGGCTTCATTAGTTAGAAATTAGTTAGAGCTAGAACACATGAAATATCTGAACTGGCCAGGGGTTTGATGACTGTCACGTTTGACTGCACGTTAGAAATACGACTACGTCAAAAGAATGGTCCAAAAAGTTAAGACAAGGTATCATCACCCTTCACAAACAAGTGACAGGATACAAAAAGATAGCGAAGGTACTAAATGTTCCTAGAGACACCATTGGACGCATAGTTTGCGAGTTCAAAGTTAAAGGAACAGTGGTTACACTACCTGGAAAAGGCAGAAAAAAGAAGCTATCAATGGCTGCAAACAGATTTCTGAGAAGGCAGGCTCAGAAAAACCCTCGAGTGACTGCAAAAGACCTGTAGCAAGACTTGGTGGCAACAGGCACTGAGGTTTCAGCTTACACAGTAAGGCGTGTACAAAACCCATGCGGTTTCAATGCCAGAAATCCAAGACGTACACCACTACTGACCCAAAAGCACAAGAAAAGTCGGCTCCAATTTGCTCAAAATCATATAAATAAGCCACAGAAGTTTTGGGATTCTGTTCTGTGGAGCGATGAAACAAAACTGGAATTTTTCATCCCTATGGATCAGCGGTATGTCTGGAGGAAGAGTGAAGCATATGCTGAAAAGAACACTGGCTACAGTTAAGCATGGTGGGGCTCGGTGATGCTCTGGGGCTGCTTTGCATCCTCTGGCACTGGAAACCAGCAGCGTGTGGAAGGCAAGATGGATTCATTGAAGTATCAGGAAATCCTAGGAGAAAACTTCATGCCGTCAGTGAGGAAGCTGAAGCTTGGGCATCATTGGCCCTTCCAACAGGTGCTTGGTTGCAGAAGAAGTGCTAGACTTGAACCCCACAAAAAATCTCTGGTGGGATTTGAAGGCAGTGGTTGCAGCACGCAAAGCCGCAAACCCAAGAATATTACTTAACTGGAGGCCATTGCTCATGAGGAATGGGCTAAGATTCCTCAGAAACATTGCCAGAAGCTGGTGTCTGGTTGTACATCTCGTTTGCAGAAGGTTAAAACAGCAAATGGGTGTTCTACTAAGTACTAAAGATGCTTGCCATGAAGGGGTTTTAAGACTGCACAAGTCATTAAAAGTTGTATTTTAGGAAAACCACTTAAAACATTTGTTGTGCTAATTAAATAACTTTTGTTTGATTTGTTCATTGCAAACAGCTGAAAGTCTGCACATTTTGCCAATAAACCTGATTTGCGATGTAAACAATACTAAAATAACTATGATCCCAAAAAGTAATCTATATCATACATAATGCCAGATTAACTTCAAGTAAGCATCTGAGAACCCAAGAAGAGCTCAATGAAAGGTAATGGTTAGGTTACATATGTTCTGTGATGGAGTCCATGTGTCATAAAAACTCCAAGTGATGACATTTCACACTGGAGTATTGTCTTTAAGACCAGAGTCACAGCTGAGGTGTGAGTTCATAGTGCCAGATCACATCTATGTCTGATCCACGGTGCTGGGGATCTAACTCTTCCAACACACAGCATTTGATTAGGGCCAGCCATACACTCATATAATGCAATGCTGATGTCATCGAGCAATGGGAAGCACGCTCAAAGCAGTTTTCAGAGGACAGAGAAAGGGAGGGGACTGTCAGTGTGGATGAGCCTCTGTAGTAGCGCGTTCCCTAAAGCTTCCAGCACACACAAAGCACAAGTCTCAATGGTCACACTATATAAATAAAATTTGTAACTAGCACTCCCACAAACTGTGTTAATTTTTTGTTTTTGAAATAACTCATACTATTGCTGCATTTATTTGATCATAATATTCTGAAATATCATTACAATTTAAAATAACTGTTTTCTATTTCATATATTTTAAAATGCAATTTATTCCTGTGATGGCAAAGCAGAATTTTCATCCGTCTTCAGCATCACATGATCCTTCAGAAATCTTTCTAAAATGCTGATTTGGTGCTCAAGAGACATTTCTCATTGTTATCAATTTTAAAAACAATGATGCTGCTTAATATTGTTGTGGAAACAGTAATATATATTTTTTTATTCTTTGACAAAATAGTTCAAAAGAACAGAAATTATTTGAAATATAAATAAGTACAATTGTCTTTACAGTGACTTTTAATCAATTTAATGCATCCTTGCTGAATACAAGTATTAACTTCTTTTTGAATGATAGTGTATAGTCACTACTTAAGGAACACATAAAGACCCAATTTTAATGACTATAGGTTTTAAATAGAGGCTAGAAGTTTCATATTGACAAGATCTTTTTTTTCTTCTAAAAACCAAACTACCTGTACCAACGTACTGTATGAAGTACTGTATGTATATCTCTCCTTCTGTTTGATTGCAAGCAATAAAGACTCCAAACATCGTTCATTTTAAGGGTGATGTACCAGAGTAGAGATTCAACATAAATGTTTTTCCATGATAGATAGCATCAGTCTGCACATTACTCCAGCAATGTCATTTTATGTCCGTTGTCTAGGCATCTGGCAACGTAACACATTGCCACTTAACAGCTGATTCAATTTTATGGACCATAAGATGCAAACTTGTTCTAGTGCATAACTGAATAATTGATTTCCATATCAAGGAACGCTGGATCTTTTTAGAAACATTTGTTTTAGTGGATTTCCATTTCACAAAGGAGATGGATGTTTCCTGCTTTACCCAAAACTAAAAACTAAAAAAATAGCTTAACTTAACATACTGAAACTGGTCAAAATGTGTCCTCACCTGTATTTTGATTGGCCATGAGAAGTTGCTGACATACACATAGAAGGTTATGTTGGGGTTGCTGTGAAAACTGAATTTCTCACAAGAGAAACTGTCTCTGTACTCTTTGATGTTAGTCTTGGACACGATGGGGATCTCTTCCCCGGAGATGGTCCCAGCTGTAAGGGGAAAAGAATGCGATAGATCAACTCGAATAAAAGAGGCATTCAGAAATGATATTTGATACACCTCATAACTTCTCTTAATTAAGGCATTGCCCATAAATGGTCATTCACGCTACACTATATATTCCATTGTCTTCCATTTTTAGACACGCAGACTTGTGCATTTATAGGGAGCAAAAATGTTTGTCCATAAATTTTCTTTACCTATATTTATGGTGGGATCTGAAATCATTTTGCATGGTTAAAATTTAGTGTGACTGCCACTTAATGCTTTCTGAGCTATTAAATAAGGGCAAATGAGAGCCAGTAATCAACTAGGCTGACCGCATGCACTGGTTTAGTTGTTTGTTGATATGTTTTATTCAGGGAGAAAATGAGTTTTAAATCAACCTCTCAGCGTGACAATTTCATTATCTATTTTAAACATATGAGAAACATGGTATAAAACCATAATGTAACAAAAATTACTTTTGGGAGTTGAAAAGAAAAGCAGCCTTTGTCCTATTTTATCAGGACTTTTTAAACTTTTCTGAAGTCCTCCAGTGAAACTCTTAAGTCTCACCAATCGTCATTCCAAACCAGCACTATGAAACAAAGCCCTCAAAATGACATCCCAAATGCCACTACGTGGCAATGTTTATCTTAATTGAAATCGTTCAGTGCTCCTGAAGACGCCGCAGCCCCAGAATTCAGAGCCGCACGCTAGACTATTGTTAGAAGCCCTTCTCAGGGGAGAGTGTCTTTAAACAGAAAGACACCACTCCAAATATTAATTGAGGGGAGCCGGGAGGTTGAGGAGGAGAGGGGTGAACCTGTTAAAGAGGAGCAAGAATGTCAAAGTCACATTTAAAAAATTGGCTGGTGACTATTTGGACGAAAAGGTGATTACAGAAATAAACAAAAGAGGATAATGGTGACGTCCTTGAGTGTCTGTCTATTACAAAATACCCAACACACCCAGGAACAAACTGCGGTCAAACTAGAATGCATTAGCATTTGTGTATCAGAACCATTACGATATTATGCAAAGAAAGATTGCATCACGGTGGTCGACTAGGCATTGTACATCCAATTGACCGACTACTAAGGATGACCTGTTTACACTACTATTCAAAACTTTGAGGTTTGTAAGATTTGTTTTATGTTTATGAAATAAGGATCTTATGCTCACAAAGGCTGCACTTATTTGATCAAAAAACAGTAATATTGTGAAACATTACAATTTAAAACATTTTAATTTAAATTTCAAAATGTAATTTATTACTGTGATGGCAAAGCTGAATTATCAGCACTCTTGCTCAGTGTCACACGACCCATCAAAAATCATTATGCTGATTTGGTGTTTATGTAAAATTTCGTAATTAGGGCCTGAGCACCGGTGGCGTGTGAGGACCCTATTGGAATTGCTCTGTTTATATCATCTATATGTTTCTTAATATTATCTTAATAAATATATTCTATAATATTATGTTGAAACCAGTTGTGCTGCTTAGTAGTTTTGTGGAAACAAAGAACAGTATTGATTTGAAATATAAATCTTTTTTAACATTATAAAATGTTATTACAGTCACTATTGATCAATTTTATGCATCCTTGCAGAATACAAGTATTAATAAAAAAAATCTTGCTGATCCCAAACCTTTGAATAGTAGTGTATGTTTTTAGTTTTTTATATTTTTAACAGAGATTTTTTGTTTTAAATATGCTGACAGCCGTTAAAAATTTTCAGGGCAAAAACATCTCTTAAAAGTTTAAAAAGTCTCTTTTTTGAGTGTCCTATTACGCTGTCAAATTAAAAATAGCCCAACTTTATAAAAAAAACGTTTCTTGAAACACAGTCTTCTTTGTGCACTGACAAAAAAAGGGAAGATTTGCTCAACTAACATGCTCGTTTTTACTACAAAAGCAAGAACTATTATACAACAAAACAAGCAAATATTCAACAGAGGAAAATATCAACCAGTACCTGTTGACCCAACTGACCAAGTGATGTTCAGATTGAAATTGTTTGAGGCATTAATGGACATGTCCAAGTTCTTGCTGGTCTACAAAATGAAAAGAGAAAACAAAGTTGATGTCTGTAAAATAACTATTTTTCAGGTGATTTTATAGCAGTATGGCTTCCGTATGGCATCGTTAAAAACTCATCTGACCCATAAAAGTGATCACCATTGGCTTTCCATATATGTAAAGGAGCAGCTTGGACATTCTCCAATATTTGTATTTATTTTTGTTCACATAAGAAAGTCATAATACGTATATGTTTTAAAAGACACTATGAGAGTGAGAAAATGATGACAGATTTATCATTTTTAGGGTGAACTATGGCATTTATGAAATTGATGAAGCTGCTTCTGTTCTCAGATAAGTAGATCGTGACTGACCTGTTCAGGGGTGGCCATGAAGTTAATGGCAGTGTAGTGCTGGTCATCTTCTTGAAGAAGACTGAAGGTGAACTGGTAATCAATCAGCAAGTTATCTGTTCAGATCAAAACCCTATTGTTAATTATCACAATTTATACAATCATGAATTCCACACCATGCAATTCTGTCAGGTTAATGGCTGAAACTTTGCATTTAAGGAACATCACAAAAGAGTGGTGCACATTCACTCTTGAAATAAGAGGGCTACTTTGAAGAGCTATGAATCACCAGTCACTTTAATTGCACTAAATGAATACCTCCCTTTCAGAGTGTGTCATTGCTTAATAAGCATACACTCTGATTAAGCTCAATTGTTTTTAAGACGTCTATTTTAAAGTATTTAAAATCTAGGCTTCTTAGTTACATTAACAAACTTGTTAACTTTACCTAGACCTAAAGCTAAAGTTTTAAAAGTTTAAGACTAGAAATAATCTGAAATCTGGAAATCGCCGTTTAAAGGAGCACAGTAAGGTGGAGTAGGTTTAGTCTTTTTCAAGGTCCTGACATCTCTTTAAAGCACCATTTCAAAGACATAGAAATGTCTGGATTGTTTTCTTATCTCCTGGTCTGTTAAATGACTGAATGCTGCCACAGGCATCTCACAGAGAACAGCTGTTTGTGTGAATCACAATATGGCACTGTAAACATCTCTTTCACTCCCCATCAATTTGAAAGATGTCTTTATAAGCTTTTGAATCAATTCAGATGTGACATGAAAGCACCATAGTTTCACTCATTTCCTAGATTTTTGCTTGAAAGATCATGTAGCCTTCATGCACCGAACAGTGCTGATCTAAATCAGTCCTTTCCTTTAAATCATCCGCCTAGAGGGAATGCTGCTGCTTTCAAAATTAGTTTTAGATGCAACTATCAAGGTGACAAAACTTGAACCATCCTCCAGCTTGCTCTTAAACCATTAAGGCGATATATGCTGGATTTTTTCAAGAATGGTGAAGCTAAAGTGAATGTCAGTGAGTTTCATAAGTCAGACAGCTGTTCTGAAAGTGATGTCAGCCACAAAGTTGTAAGTTATTAAAAGAGCATAGGAAAAACTTGGTATATGACATTTAAGTCCAAACGCTCACTACAAGACAGAAGCTTGTCATCCTGCACAAATCAAAAACTCACAGTTTCTTTGACAAGTTCTCTGTCATGTTCTCGTCTATTGTGAAGACTTCACACAGCTAATCGCAGACTTGCTGTCAATTACATGATCATTCTCCTATCTGGCTGTTGCTACAGTCTCAAAATTCATTCTCTCAAACAAACATTTAAAAAGATAATCCACCTAAAAAATAAAATAAACACCTCATGTCATTCCATACCTGTCCTACTCTCTTTCCTTTATATAACTCAAATGAAGATATTTTGAAGAATGTTAAAATGATAACCAAGAAGTTCTGGTTAACATTGTTTATCTTTCCAAAATATCTTCTTTTATGTTCCACAAAAGAAAGTCATACAGGTTTGGAACTGACAGGAGGGTGAGTAAATTATGGCCGAATTGTTATTCTCTTCACGCTGTGTCCGAAATCCGAATTCTTCCCTACTATTATAGTATGCCGTTACGTCCTTAGGGACGTTTATAGTGTTTTTGGGTGTGTTTTGTGTTTCTCTTTTTGGTCTCTTTTGTCTCTCTTACTTTCACTTTCACAGGCCGTCTTGCCTGTCAGTCATTCGTAGTGAGTTGAGTGGGTGTGCCTTGTGAGGCGGGATCCTCATCATGCTGATGCTTGACACCTGGAGAAGCCCTACTTAAGGAACATGCTACTGCCAGCGAGGGAGAGAGACTTTTTGTTTTGACTTTGCGATGCGTTTTGTTTTTGCTTGATTTAGTTGTGTTAAGTGTTTTGTCTGTCATGTACTCTTGCCCTTTGTTTTGAGCGCTCAAAAAGGAGAGGGGATAGGTAAGGCCGTCATGTGACATACATTTACACATTTAGGTTGATTTTTGTTTATTCACACTAGGTTAGGGATTTGTGCCACCCGCTGTATTTTTGGTTTTGTTAGTTAGAGTAGTTTATTTACGACGTCACGGACGTTGAAGACTTTTTCTTTGATCTTTCTTTTCTTAGTTTAGGATTAGATTGAAATGGTTTAGTTAGTTCCTTTTTGATTATGTTATTTTTGTTTGTTTGGCACAATCCAGTTTTCCCCTTTGTTCCTTCCGTTTTGCTTTGTTCATATGTAAAATATGAATTACTTTACCTTTATTAAATTAAGTTTACTTGATTTTGTCGTGTCTCTCGTGTTTCTCATTTCATTCCGTGCTCAATGGTGACAGGTGTCTGAACTAGTTTAATGTTCCCCTTCTAAAAATTCCTAGACGGTTGTGAGCCAAAGAAGGGTCGTAGCAATGTGAAATACAGTACACCAACAGAGTAGTATGTCCAAATACATAGTAGTATATAGTATTTGAAAAACAGTAGGCGAAAAGTACCCGGGTGACCTACTACTTCAGCCTAGATTCTGAATTGCGCATTCAATGGACATTTTACTATCCCATGAGGCCAAGGGAGAGGATTTGTGAATGGCAGTGAAGTGACGCAACTGACACCCGGCAGGTCAGATGATAATGACGAGATGGCGGATGTAGCATTTCATTTTCATACTATATAGAATGTACTTTTTTAACGGTGGCGAAGTAAGTTTCAAACCAAATGTAGTACATACTCAAGAGAGTATGCAATTTTGGACGCAGCGTAACCTCGCAGCTAAACTCTGCAGAACAGTGGGTATCCATGAGCAGGGTTAAAGACCTTTAATTTAAATTGTAACGAAAATCATGGAGAAAATGTTTGTGGTCACTTTTGACAGCAAGCACGACAATCTTCTGTCTTGTGCATTGGCTTAAGTGTTCTAGAGTAGACCAATAAATCTGAATCTAATGAATCAACTAAGGTGCTAGAATATTGTAATATTGAACTGGAAATGAACTCCACTCAGGTGATTAAAGACACTGCCCACTGCAGTTATATTGGGAATACATGGTGGGCTGATCACCCTGCAAGAGTGTGGGATTAAACCAGTCTGAGAAGATTTAGCATGATCAAGAGGTCTTACTGGGTCTGGAGGACTGTTTTTACAAGATCAATCTCCTTTGAGGGTGAGTCAAGTAACACTGACAGAACACACTGAACTTGCTTGCTAGTGCTGCCTCCGGAAATACACAAGTCAAACCTTGCATGTGTGAGAAAGCGAACGCACACTGCCTACTTCGACTCAACTTCTGCTTGTGTCTTTAATTAATTAGTTCGAATCATTCGCTTACTCACTCTGACAGGGTTTGACACTCTCACCAGTCTTATATTGTCGCCTGCGGCCCACTCTCCAGCAACACTTCCCCCTACAGGACACTATTTGAGAAAATACGGCCGGGTGATACAGTTTTCTTCTAAACAGCGATTGGGCCGGAAGCCTGAGAGCATACGCGCTCCATCTAACAGACGCAGAGGGAGCAGAGTGGATGGAAATTGATTGATAAATTGAAGGCTTTATTTAATCCTGATTGATGACAATAGGGATAATGCTGGCAGGATTTGCAAACGGAGTGAAATTTCATCTCCTAAACGCTACTGACTGCATTTAGCCTTTTCAGACTCCATGATGACTGCTGATATTAATTGCAAAAAAGGGAAAGAGAGAAACACCAATGTATACACAGGGATCATGCTGTTTCTGATATACAACAAGACTGCCCCCTGGTGCTGTGCATTTGAGCTCTGCACACAGACTTCAACATGGTTTGCTCATCTTCTGAGATGTTCAAGAGATCTACATCTACTTTTTGATTTCTGACAAATCAGAATGTCTCACTCTCATCCACAACTTTTATCTTGTTGTGTGGTTGTGCATCAGGTCATAGCAATTTCATCAAGGTTTCCTAGCATCTTAAGCCCCCTAGTCTAATTTCATTAAATGGCAGACTACAAACAGCCTCTGAGTTTGAAAGTGCCTACAGAGTCAGATACATTTTCAAGGTACAACAGGATTACTTTAAGGTCAGAGCTCAAATAGAGCATACTCACAGTAACAGGTTCCACGAAGAGGGTTGCCAAGATAACGGTTTTCTGAATCACAACTGTAGAGGGGATAAAAAAATAACTGAGATGAAACACATCAGTAATGAGACCGTGCAACATCTGATGCAAGAATCTTCTGACATGCATTTGTCATAACATTTATATTTTATGCACTTAGCAAGTGCTTTTATCCAAAGCGACTTACAATGCATTCAAGTAACACATTTACAGTTTAGAGGTTCTGGACTGTGAAACAAGAAAAAGTTTGTAACTTGAAAAAAAACTGAAATAAATATATAAAAACCAAAGTCTTAAGACAGACTACTAGACAACCTACCGCATAAGTGATTTCGTAAATATGTTGTTTTGCATATCATGATTAACTTTGTTAAATATTGCATCTGTGATGTTAAAGTCAGCATGAAATTAAAATTCTCCCTATTCATTTTCTAAATGCACGTTCAAATATTTTTGAACTTGTAATGTTTAATCAAAATGCCATGACTGGAGCTTCCGGTGAAAACTTCAAACTTCTCCTTTACGATGCATACAAGACTTCTCCAATCATTTGGTCCGCTTAAATCCCCTAGCTTTCATCTGCTTACATTTTTAAGTACAACAAGTACACCTCAAAAACCAATCAACAACCAATGCATAGAATCAAGTGTGTCATAGAATCAATCTGTTGCTAGAAAGAAAAAAATCTGTTGCTAGTTCTTTTGCATTTCGACTTTAATAGGAATCATCTGTGTTACTCATTACATACAGTGTGAAAAACAAACCTACAGCTGTTTTCATATATCAAACCCATGAAATTGCAGTAAAATTGAGTTTCCTTTTCTAGTTGTTAAATAAACCTGGCATTGCATATTATGAATATTGTTGGCTCTTTGACAAATTGTTTTTTTCCCCCTCCTTTGTAAGTCACTTTGGATAAAAACGTCTGCTAAATGCATAAATGTAAACTGCCGGAGTACAAGTTTAGCATATCTGCATATTGCTACCATTCATACATTCTAACATTTTTAACAACGGTTCTTGTTGACCTCTAAATGGAAAAATGGTGTTAAATTAACAGAAAAAGGTGAAGAATGTTTGTGTGTTTTGACTTTGTGTGGTGCCTGCGGTATCTTTGTCCCTTTCCATACTAAAGCAGATTATGTAATTCCACTCTGTTCTCGCGATCCTTTATTTCCAGAGCTTCATTAGAGAGCGCCAGGAGACAGCCCAAAGCTTCCTCTACCTCAATCTCAAACACGCTAAACAATTAACACAGCGCTGTCGGCCCAGCTCAGCACCAGCCTAAGCAGATTACACATCTTGTTGCTCTTCTGAGCCAGAAACTGACTGTCCAATTAGAGTCTGCATTCATTTGAGAGCATAACTCTCTCTCCTCACAACAATCTAGCCACTTAGTTTCTACAGAGGGAATTCACTTTCAATTCATTCCATTGTACTGTAAACATATCTGAAGTGCGAATGCGATTAATCATTGAAGCCACTCTTAAGGAGTAAATGCAGTGATGTAATAGTTAATGAGGAATGCCGGGCTCTGGTATAGTTACTTTGGAGCTAATCTAACGCAATGAACCCAGTTCACATGTATTTCAGCCATAACATTTTTTTATATAAGTATGCAAATGCATTACAATTGTAAGGTTCAGCCAAATCTGGCTTTCGAGTCTGTACTGAATGTGACAAAATCATGGCAAAAAATAAATAAATCTTCCCCCTACAGGACACTATTTAAAAAAAATCTACTTTCTTTTGAGTTGTCCACACAAGTCACATGCAAAAACAAACAGTCCGATTCACAATTAACTCTTAGACATGAAAGCCCTTTTTTGCCACATAAAAAACAAAACAAACAAAAACCCACATGCTTTAGTAAATCATAATTATGACAAAGCCAAATTTTTGTCAATGATTTTATCATCTCATTAATATAACTTAATATCTCATAATTTTTACATTTTCTCTCATCATTATTAGTCATATCTACGAGTGTCATATTTTTGTCAATTTTTATCTCATAATTTTTATACTTGTCAATTATGTTTTTATCATACTTTTGTCAACTTATGTCATAATTGACCTTTTCTCCCAATTTCAACTTATAATTTTTACATTTGATCTCATAATTAGTATGGCAAAATTTTGACTTAGCATGTCATAACTATGACTTCTTGTGTCATAATTACGATTTATCAAAGCATGATCGGGAAATCTGGATCGAAACCTAGTCATTTCTGGTAATGCTGAAAATGTAATGCATACTACGGTGGCTGAGAAGTGCAAAACAAACCACAATTCTGAAAACAAAACAAATTTATAAACGCAATGGAAAGACTAAAAACAAATGAGCAAGTTAGAAAACACAATAACAATTCCGAAAAAAATAACGACTCAGGTCGTTCGCGTCAAAAGCTAAATCTTCTGTTCTTACTACATGCCACTCTCCCACTTTACCAGATCGAGTTCTTTAATAATTTTGTCTGACCAAAACCAGATAGTGGTAGGAAGATTTTAATATGAAAAGGTTTTTTTTCTCCATAATCGCACTAATATGTACACATGCACACGCGAATCGTCTTTCTTCTGCCGCAGTCTGCTGTACTTTCTGCATGTCTTGATTGACAGATGTCTCGTCCAATCAGCTGTCAGTATTCCATTCGCCACATATACCTACCTTTTCCGTTTTGTCAGACTTGTCATTGTGTTTTCTGATTTGTTATTTTGTTTTCAGATTTGTCGTTGTGTTTTCCAATTTGTTATTTTGTTTTCGGAAATGTTATTGAGTTTTCTAACTTGTTAATTTGTTTTAGTCTTTCCATTGCGTTTATACATTTTTTTTATTTATTTTTATGTTTTGTTTTCGAAATTGTGGTTGGTTTTGCACTTCTCGGCCACCATAGCATACCCTACGAATTGCCCTTATCCATTTCTGAACATTGATATTGGGCCTGAAACATAGTCGGATTCATAGACTGTGTGACCAAGGCTATGATAATCCAAATAATTACACGTTTGACTGATAGGAAGTAAATTGACCTGCTTTACTGTTTTAAGCATTACACATACCTCCTTTAAGTACACTAATCTCACAGTCAAATATACACTGACCTCCATCCCATACTGTAAATATCTTTGCCCTTAGCTTGCGGGGGATACAACTTTATCATACACAGCTGAAGCGTTCATATTTTTTCCGAGAGTTGGTAATAAATACGAGAGGACAAGGTAGAGTACACTTTTACCACGGTACAGAGGACACAGGACAAACTGCACCACAGGCATTTTAAAACCTCTGCATATCAGTCCCCTAGCCTTTAATCTGGATGACATTTCAGAAATGACTATTCTCTCTCTCACCCATACACTGCAAATCAGAAGAAGAGGTTTCCAACGCTCATGCCTGCATACACACAATGTACTCCGTAAGGGCAATGAAACATAATGCACTCTTACTCAGTATCTTAATTTAATCTCCAGTGAGAGCACACCTACATGTGAGTGCATGCTTTAATGCACTCTCTCTCTGTAGTGGCATAATTTGATCCCCATTTGGGTCGCACCTGGAGTGCTACAACATACAACACACTCCATGACACTCTATCATGATGATGATGGACTCTACAGTAATCAAGCATGCTTTTGCTTCAAATTGTATCAATTTTCTCTCTTTAATCATGTGTATCTTTTCAAATATCTCTTGTTGAGCGGCCCTCTGATCGAGAAGGAAAGTGACGCATTCTCGTCACTCTGAAGTCCCACTCAGGACTGTGAAAGGAAACTTTGAATTGCTCTTCCACAATGTCAGCTCACTAAAGTGGGGCCAGCGAGCGATCACTGCAGCACATCAGGGGCCGTATTCACGAAACATTTTATCTTGCCACTAAGAGTTCTCCTAAATAGCAGTAAAAGTTATTAGGTACGGTTTTCCTCTTAAAACCTATTCACAAAGCTACTGAGTCCAACTTTTACTAAGGAATAGAGAGAAGTCTGCCCACAAGGCTATCAGCGCAGACGATTAATTATTTTCAACTTGACTGCAATGTTTTATTCTCCACCGTTCAATGCATATAGAACCTTTATGTTACTGTATGTCATCGCAGATTAAAATCGTTATTGCATTTATTAGAAGGCTCAGCACCCGAGGCTCTATCGCCTATTGCTTCAATAGTGTACAGTGTCTTTAGGCAGCGTCTGAGGTGGTCTGCCAGCAACAGCCATTTTAGGATTGTTTGTGATTTGGTCTTAGTGACTTAAGGAGTCCTTCTTGACAACCCCTGACTTTTCAAAGATTTAGGAGCTGGCTTTAGCGCTAAAATGCTTTGTGAAATACTCTTACAGCAAAAATTTCCTAAAAGAGTCCTAAAATTAGGCCTGACACAGCCATTTCTTCAAGAGTTTCTCCAAAATCAGCGAGTTAGGAGCTACTTTTAGCATTAAGATGTTTTGAAAATACGGACCCTGGTCTTTAATCAACCATTTTGAGCGTGATAGTGTTTGTGCGTGACAAAAATGGTCTCGGTGCTTCATTATGGACCTCATTATGTAGGATGGGTAATGGCATCTGTCCGCTCTGAGTAATGAAGGTGAGAGAACAGAGTGAGAAGGAGAGGAATAAACAAGAAGCGGTAACGGCCGTCTCAAATGCTGCCTGTGCACTCATTTGTCCTTGTGATGAAGACATGCTTGAATACATCATCAATGTACCTGGCTTGGCCTGATTGGGCTACACACAATTAAAAACAAGCATCTACCGGTATGCACACACACGCTGAAAACAAAAGTGTGTGTGAGAGATAGAACCCTTCGAGCCCACAACCACCACTATAGACACCAGACACAGCAGAAAGCCAAGTTAAAAGATGTTTTCTCACAACAGCTTTTGATGCAGAGTGAGGTCCATTTGTAGCCTGGGAAAACCCAGACAACTTCCGGCAAATTTAGATTTGCTCTGAAAGTTAGTCTGGCAAAGAGCTCATTCAAGCCCATTTCCAATCCGTCGAAATCGAGGCACCAATCAGAAACGTTGGGGCGGGCTTTACACGATGACGACAGCGCTGGGATTTTGAAGCAGATTTTGTAGCCTACATTACAAAGATGGATGCCGCCGTCGAACATCACTCGTTCGAATCAGCTATCGCGTCTGTTTTAAGCGATTTGAACGTTTCCTTTTTGTTAAAAACCAAGCAAAGAACAACACTCGGAGATGTTTCTCCACCGCTCTGCATACGTCATCTCCTTCATCGCTCTGATTGGTTTTAGGTCTATCCGCGACGTCCGTTGGTGACGCCCCTCTGGAAATGATTTGTCTATGACGCTTTGCCAGACCATAACTCAGTTACAACTGAGAATGGTCTGGTTTTAACCAGGCTAGTCCATTTGACGTCAGTGTTTACTTCATTTGTTCAAGCAACACTGCTGTGTGTATTTGATTCACTAAATAAATAAATAAACACTCATAATAGCCACTTGTTTAAGAATTAGACTACTCTGGTGACATTCTATGCTTTTGATTCACTAAAAAGAACCAACTCATAAAGAGTCACGGTTAACAATGGAACCAGTAAAGAAAAGGGAAAAAATAAATAAATAACATGAACAATGCAATGCGTGGTGCCTTCTCCTCCTGAGTCATTACCTTACTAAGGAGTACAGCTGTCGTTTAGTTTATGATGAAATTGTGCCGTGGTGACAAATAATGCAATGTGAAAATAGACCTGCAGGCATAAAGTCACAGTTTCCTGTTCCCTGCGATAAAACCCTGTTAAAAGATCAAGTGACACCTTCCATGAGCTGCACACCTCTTCATATCCCAGAGTTACACGTCAGCCTAGAACAAAGCATTTGCTCCTAAAAGAACAAAAAGGCACTAACACCCTCCGCTCTGTAGCCCTGAATGCAACACAGCAGCCCGGATTTCAAACTGCTTCTGTTTCTATAACTGAAGCATCTGAGTGGGAAATTCAGTTCTCACCCACGTCTCCTAAATAAGCATGACTGGTCAACCCACTCTTTAGAATTTTTGCATGTACATACAACAATGCAGTGAGTGAAGCACTTGAGTTTCATTATTCTCAAAGATGAACGGACTCTCTAATAGTCACAAAACTGATGCCAGCACACTCCCACACCTCACTTCCACCTCCATTAGTGCTATTTAAGTGTGTGCACACAAGCAGACAAAATGTGCTGCGTCTGCGGATAGGCCCAAATGTACACAATGTACACAAAGGACACAGTCAAGCTAAATGGAATGAAGGGGACTTCATAGCCTTAAATATTGAAATTAAAAATGACAATAATCATAATATTTGTATTTATTAAATAAATGAAATGTTTTAAAATAAAAGATTGATATGCCCTCATTTAGATGTGTATGAAGAAGATGTACTTACAGCTGGCATTGGTCGCCTTTGATACCCTTGGTGGTACAAAAGCATTTCCCCGTCAGCACCTGGCACACGTTGGCATGGCCATTACATTTACAGGCTAGAAGAGGAAAAAGTGAGAAGGAACCAGATAAAAATGGGAAGATGAGAAATACACAGAGGGAGATAAAGATTACCAGGAGGGGGTCAGAAAGAAAGAGAAACAGTGTGTGAGAACATAAATAATTTAAGGAAATAGCTTGATCTCAATACGGAATGAGCTCTTTTATCTAATGCATTATTTAATGCTACAACAGAGCAATTCTAGGGATACTTCTGTGACACCACATAATAATAAATACATCAAATAAATTAAAATACAAATGACTAAATCGACTCCAATTCAAATCAGTCTCTACAGTCATAGGTTTATCTGTTGGATCATCAACATCATGTAAAGAAGTTGAAAAACCCAGTGGGATCATCTCATAGGTGGTCTCTCTCCGACTCTGTTGTCACATTTTGTTCTTAGAGACGCAAGTTTGGGTGCATTACATGAAATGAGAACATTAGGTTACAATCCCCAGGCTACATCAATGATGGATATCAAAATAATAAATTATGAACCTTAATCACAGAGGTCAACAAACAAAAAGAATGGAAAATTGCACAGGAATGGAAAGTGCACAGGAAAATAAGACTATTACATAATCCAGGCCAAGCAGAAACTAAAACATCAATTTAGAAACATATTAAAAGAGTTTTGCCATCACAGCCCTAAGTAACATTAACAAATATTAATAAATACTTTAACAAATGTATAGCTTATTGCTAGTTCATGTACAATACATTCATCTTTTAATTTAAATTTTGTTCAGAAGTTTCTTGCCACTGACAAAAAAACAGTGACTTTAAGTGCCACAGCCACATCTGTACTGTGCCACATCTGTAATGAAATCCATTTCCGCATTTTCTGAGCAGTAGACAATAATTATTTCTAAAATAAGCTTTAATTCTACACATGCTCTACACGCTGCACTAACATCGTTTTAGATCGCAGGGCTCTGACAGGCTTTTGTCTTCCAAACTAAACATACATGACAGCACGTATAGGACCAATTCTATGCCGTCTCTAATCCCCAGCATCCTGTAGGTCGTATTTCAAAGGTTTATGCTGATGTGTGTAAGAACGCCTTTTGTAAGTTGCTCAGCTTTTAAGAAGGAATATGAATATCATATTTCTCAAGAATATGGGAAATATGATAGTGTCTAGGGTTTGCAGGGTGCAGTTTTTTGAACTGACATGCCATCAAGTATTAAAGTAAAGGAGGCCTTGGGCAAGATTTCACAAAAACATGGAGGAACACAACAAATCCATTTTCATACAAACATGTGCTGTAAATAAAACATTAAACGATAGTTTATGGTCCCTAAAGTGTCTCGAAAGACCACAATTTTAGAATTTTTAAACTAGCATGTTTCGTGACCACTAGTTCTTAGTGTTAAACTCCTGGTGGGGGTGTTGGCTCATATCTGAGAGCATAATGGTCTATGCCAGCATATCCTGTTTCACGTAGGATCAGTGGGCAATGCTGTAAACTGACATCTCCAGGGCAAAAGAGGAAAAAAACATTGTGAATGCAACCACCTCTATGACCTCAAAACTCATTTCACAGTGAGTTCTTTTCTCTATTACTAGGCGAATGGAATATCAAAATGCCCTGTCAGTAGAAGGTGCAAATATTCTCACCTTGGCACTTTCCGCCATTGGTTGGGTCTCCGTGGTAACCAGGCAAGCACGTTTCGCAGTGAAGGCCGGTGGTGAGGTTACGGCACTGCTCGCACACGCTGCTGTTCACACATGTACTGTGACCATTACACTGGCATGCTGAAAGATAAAAGTTGGTTGTTCAGGAAAAACTCAAGCATTTGGAGATTGTAGTAGTTTTTGAAAGAATCAAAAACTCCAGAGCATTCAAACTCTTTATGCCAAGGACCCCCAAATAGGAATGAAGGCCCCCTTTCCTAAAATATGAAGGCAGCTATACATTTTCATTTCTAAAAACCCATTTATACTGGGTAAAAAATAGTGTAAAGACAAAAGAAAGTGTTGTTTATATTGTCAATGTAAAGCAATTCAAAGAATTTTTTTTAAATAAATAAGATTTAAGTTGATAAGATTTTTAATGTTTTAACAGGAATTAAAAACAGTAATTAAATTTGGTGCTCAAGTAACATTTCTTTATCAATGTTGAAAACTGACGATATTTTTCAGTATTCTTTGATGAATAGCAAGCTATTTCAAATAAGTTCAAGTTTATCTATAAAAATGTCAAATTTTTTACTGTCACTTTCAATTTAATGATTCCTTGCTGAATAAAAGTATTCATTTCTTTAAAAAATCTTACAGACTGTTGAATGGTAGTGTATACCACAAAATAATATTTATATTTGTTAGTTTAAAAAAAACTAGGACTGTCACCTTGATCTCACAATTTCTGGTCAGTCTTTTGAAAACATAATAAAATAGTACATTTATTACTTATCATTTACTGTCAAGCTAAACATATTTCATGAATTTATTAAATGTACACGTTAACTTTAACAGGCCTAAAAACAATACATACAATAAAAAAATATATATATTCTCGTCAAGTTTTTCAAACATCACCTAGCACCCCTCTGTGACTTCTGGGGGTCCCTGGGCCGCAGTTTGAAAACCCCTTGTGGAACATTTGCTCTTTAATAAAGGTCAAGTGTGCGTGTGATTGTTTGAATGTTTGTGGCTCTCACCGGGGCACTGGATGAAGGCCCACTCAAAGCCACGCTCTTTTGGACAGAGCCCCGTCTCCAGGACCATGTCTTGGCTTTGTTTGGAGGGGCTCTTCATGGGTCCGCGATACGAACCCTCCATGCACTGCCCTCGGCCGGTGTTACTAGGGTCTCCACACCAGCCGCAGTCAGGCTGCTCCAAACACAGACCACATGTACGCAAACCAGAGCAGTTCTGAGCTGGAATGACAGAGAATAGAGTGGAGATGAGAGGCCAAAGAGATGAGAAACAGAAAAGACATGCTTAAAATTAGACTTTTTTAAGCTCCCACGGGGCATATCATTCCACTGACTGAGTAATGTGCTCTCAAATACCACCAGAAAGTTCACTCTGTCAAAAGAGCACATCAGAGCCATATGATGCCTCATCAGAGCCAGCCTTTTTCGGTTTGATCCACCACCCTGGCAGCCAAATCACACTCTTAGGATCTCAGACCACACAACAACAAGCATTACACACAAAGTGTGTTCAGGGGCAACATGATGGCAGCCATAACAATGAAAAAGAACAATGTTAGTCATTATCGCTGGCAGGAATTCATGGATTTTCAACTGCAGGAGCTGACAGATCGTCAACAGCAACATATGATTTAATTCGGCATGCTATAAAAATCCTTTGTTTAGGGGTGAGGATATGTCTAGGCGGGTTAGGCGTTGAGAACAAATGAGACGTCACTGGGAATAAAAATGCATCCCTGCCGATTTAAATAAAGGGTCACGTTCATAGACATAAATTGATTGGCATCCCGCAAATGAAAAAAAAAAGAGAGATGGCAGTTCAGCTAGCAGATATGACTGGTTTTAAAGTCACATCAAAATTGAGACCATTTAGATACTTTCTGGACTAAATTCATTGGTGAATATTGTTAAAAAGAAAAACATTTTTGTATTCATAATCCTTATAGACTGTAAATAAAGATGGATGACGTGCCTTCCACTGTTGAAAAATCGAGCCAAAATGTCCCAGAAATAACATCTTGCGGCGATGATGTAATTTGGAGCCTGAATCTGCGCAGTTGTGAGTGCGAGGTGGAGCCACGGTATCAAAGTCAAAGACAATGAAGTGTAATTGTCACAAATCGTTACATTTGAAGTGTCGCTGGCAATTGCGGAGAGAGACAGAGAAAGAAGAGAGATGTGGGACAAATAGTCAAATATATTATCTCTGGCAGTGCGACAAGGACATGGTACAAACCGACTATAAACAAATGCCCTTCAGCCCAACAGAACAGTGGCAGCAGCCGCCAGATTTAAGAGCGAATATATCAGACTGATACAATATAGGGTCGACACACACAAGCTCCCCACATCCCAGTGCAAATCACTGTCGCGAAAAAATGTAAACCTTCACAAGTCAAACTCATCCAGGCATGCACCGACAGAGACAAAGCACCCTGAAGAGAAAAAGAAAGAAAAAAACAGAGAGAGAGAGAAAAAGAAAAACATGAAGCAGAAATAGATCTTTAAAATGGCACTGACACAGGCCAGGGCTTATGGTGGAGCAGTTGAAACGTTAAGTAACCATCACTTGGACGGAGCGGTACATTTTGGTGACAAAAAGGTTTCCTCAGCCAGACAGATTTGCAGACTAGTACCACCTCTTTCTGGCGGAGAGAGCTTTTAATTCATTTTCCATCAGACTGAGCATAATGGAAGTTCTATCAGTAAGTCTAAGCCTGTCATAAGAACACACTACAGTCAGGAGACTGTACCTTACCTCACCAGATAGCCAGGGTGAAATAAGACATTATGAGCACTTAAAGCCTCAAGTCTGAAGGACAAACATAGCTTGGCATAACACAGAATATACAGAGCTGTGAACTAAATAAATGCAAAGCAAACTTTGCATTTGCACACAAGTGTTGTGTTGAAGCGAGTACACGTTGGAGATTAATATTTTGTAATTAAAGTGGTAAATTATGGGGGGGGGGGGGGGGTTCTCAAACAAAGCACTAGCATCGCTTCATAAAATTGAGGTTAAACCACTGGAGTCACATGGATTACTTTTATGATGTCTTTACTACCTTTCTGGGGCTTGAAAGTGGTAGTTGTGTAGACTGTCAATAGAGGGACAGAAAGCTCTCAGATTTCATTAAAAAGATCTTCATTTCTGTTCCAAAGATGAACAAAAGTTTTACTGGTTTGGAACGAGATGAGGACGAGTAATTAATGACATAATTTGCATTATTGGGTGAACCAACACTTTAATATTCCCTGCAGAAGATTTCCACCTAATGTCGTTCACCATCACGTTTTCCTTAATGTTTCTATCAGTTTGTGTGCCGACATGTGCCATAAGAATCCATTCGTGAACAGCCAAGAGGGAAGAGCGAATGCTTAGGCAGACAAATTGAAACACTAATTGCACATTACAGGCGGATCAGAGGCCAAGCAGTTCAGCTAATAGGATGAAACAACAGATCTGATAGAGATGAAGAACCCACACAATCAAGCCTGCTGACAGGCACTGATTGGTTGTATCTTTCTCTGAAAGGCTCCACAGAGCAACTTTCTCATCACTGGGAAGGGAATACTCAACACTGAAACCCTTCCAAGAAACAAGGCTAAGGGCTTCATGAGAAAACAGCTCCTCTAATTCATTCCAGTTTCATTCCAACATACGACATTTCCCACCATCAGTTCAAAGCCCAAAATATTCCTAAAAAGAAAATTAACTATTAATTATTAAAGGGGTGGTTGATTGCGATTTCACTTTTTTCATTTTAAATAGTGTGTAATGTTGCTGTTGGTGCATGAACAGTATCTGCAAAGTTTCTGCGCTGAAAGTTCAACGTAAGCAGAGATATCGTCTTTTAAAAATCAGGAAGGTTAATGCCTACAAAAACGACTTGAATGGGACTACAACGAGATACTTCCCGGGTTTTATACGTAACTAACCCATAAATTTACATCAACCCTCCCTCCGGAATATGCAAAAAAGGGGGCATGGCCATATTTCTGCGGCTTTGTCGAAGAGGAAGAGTTATAGTGGAGAGCTGTAGCCATGCCGTCGAAAGTGTGTTATTTTCACCCAGCTGTCAGGTCTTCTGTGTTCGGGCTTCCCACGGACGCTGTAGTTCGTCAACAATGGCTAAAATTTATGTTTGATTATGTTCCTGAAAATTACAATCGTAATTTAGCTCTCTGTGCTGCGCATTTTACGGAAGACAGCTTCCAGAATCTCCACGAATTCAATGCCGGATTCAACAAGAAACTGTTATTAAAACATGAAGCAGTTCCAACTTTAAAACCAGACGCAGCAGTTGTTGGGCCTCAACCTGTAAGTAAGACTTAATAATTTTAAATGTATTTGCATGTATAATTTCAGACGTAATGTTTTAGTTTTATCAAGGACGTAAACAAATGCCAGCGCTGGCTTTAGTAGCCACTTAGTTATGCTATTTCGTGTGTCAAACAAGTACAAACATTTTGGACCTGAATTTGTAATTATGTACTAATTTTGTAAATGTATTTTCCATGTGCTATTTTGTGTGTATAAGACAAACGAGTATAAAGTTAAAAAAATTATATGTAATCGCAACAGCAAACTTCAGCTGCTGTTATCAGTATTCAGTATGGTTTTAATACAGTTGCCACGTGTACACCTAAAGTAAACGATACACTGAGTAAACTAAGGGTGCTTTCACACCTGGATCGATTTGTTTTGTTCCGGAACAGATCCGAAACAGAATACTTTGTTCCGAATCAATTTAATACGTCACTCTGTTCACACCACACTGTTGTAAAGCGGTCCAAATCGCGCACCCTTCCAGGGCTTTCCTTACACCATTACATCACTACCTCATGCGTGCAGGTCGCGCATTCCATTGTGGGACATCGTCATGACAACAGTAGCCTAACACAAAATGAATCGCGGGTTGACTTGGTGGCGGTGCTACGAAGAGGTGAAATGCCTCATAGATATTTGGTCGGAAGTCAGAGTTTCCGCTAGAAAAAAATGGTGCCGGTCAAAGTGACCGGCAGAGGTTTCGTTAAACGGACATTTTGATGATATGCCGGTCAAATATCGCCTCTTAATTAGTCAAGTTCAGGAAAACTGGAGGCAGGTTATATAACTTTAAAAAATGACATAATCAGGCCTTAGGCATATAGAATGCAACATGTTATTATTAGCCTATAACTTTCAAATAGACGGAAAAAAACATGAACCTCTGATTGGCGTCAATCAACACTAATTGTTTTTTACTATGGTTTCACACACATTCACTTTTTGAAACATTGAGGCACGGATGTACCTAACACAAATAAATAAAAAATCTCCAGTTAACTCATTCATTTAGTTCGCTATTAAATAAGAGATCTAGCGCTAAAATCAGTTGTTTTTTAAATCAAGCTGAGCGCTCGTGTCCGCTGCTATCAGTTGCATGCACGACGCGCTGCGCGAGTTGCGCAATCTTCACTGGACACGCGTTTCAATCTATCGCCGTTGCGGAGGCTCTACACAGGCGAAGCACTGCTACTTGGGCGCAGAGATATCACGCAACACTTGAAATAAAGCTTGCCACAAAGAACCGGCGAAAGTAATGATTATGCATGAAACATTTAAATTGCTGATAAATTGATAAAGTTGACGATGCAGACTCGACATCTTCTTCGCAGTAGTGAACGCGCCTAGAGAGAAATGCACACTTCATATGAATAAATTATTATTTATTAATCCAGGCAAATTTGTTGATGAAACATTGATTAAAATGAAGATACAATTTATACAAAACGAAATAAACTTTAAAGAAAGGCTTTCTACAAAACAAAACTAAAAAACTGGTCAAAATCATGTCTGACCAATTCCAAATGTTTTCCGATATATAGGCCTATTGGTCATCTTATGATCCTATCTTACTCATCTCATGCAGTTCCCTTTTCATATAGCCTAATCAACATAGATGAAATAAAAAAATAATAACATTATATTTTTTATAAATATGAAACTTATATTTATTTGTTTTACTTATGATAAGCGTCACACCGCTCTGCTTTGCTCACATGCTCTGGGGTGTAGCCTAATGCATGTGTGCGTGCATGTGGTGGAGGGGTGCGATTTTCGAATAATAATCAACCCAGCGATCTTCGAATATTATTTTTGCTTGAAAATTTCGTTTTGTATAAATTGTATATTAATTTTAATCAATGTTTCATCAACAAATTTGACTGGATTAATAAATAAGAAGCAAATATAGTGGACAATATAGGCTAATAGGCTAATCAGGACACGGAGGCGTCGGCGCGTGCACACTTCTCTCTATAGGCGCGTTCACTACTGCGAAGATGGCGAGTCTGCATCGTCAACTTTATCAATTTATCAACATTATCAATAATATCAATGGACCTGGCCATATTTGAAACGTCTCACTCAATCGTTTGTTGTTTAGGTCTATATTACAGCGGCGTGCGCTTTATTTGAAATGCAGCATGCGATGTTGTTTAATAACTTTCTAACGGTAGAGCCTGTTCCTATAACATATAGCCAAAGGTAGGTGTATTTTTGCTTTATACATTTTAGGCTTATTCTCAAATTCATATTGTGTTAGGAGGGCGGGATTATTACGCAATTTTAATTGGACAATTTGACCGGATAGATTTAATTTTGGCGGACATTTAATTTTTTTTTCCCGGCCAATGTCCGGTAATTACCGGACAACGGAAACCCTGGTCGGAAGAACACATCTCCCGGATGTTGGACACTACACACAAGAACACCGAAGTGTACTAGAAGATCAGCTATAAAATGAAAGAGAGGGGTTATGAACGGTCCGTCGAGCAGTGCCGCGCAAAGGCGAAAAAACTCCGACATTGATTTGTTCCGGTTCGTGGGTCGGTTGTGTTCTCACTACAAACGAACCGCTCCAGGGTTCGTATGGAATCGAGCCGAGACCACCTCTTCTAGGCGGTCTCGGCTCGGTTGTTTTGTTCCGATTCAGAGTGCGATTGTTGTGTTCACATATGACCAAACGAACCGGGCCAAAAGGGAAACGCCCCTTTGTTTCGGAACAACGTCTCCAATCGATCCAGGTGTGAAAGCACCCTAAGTTTTGTGAATAGAGGGTATGCGCATGACGTCACCGTCGGCCGGAGTGAATGCGGTCACGCCCACAAGTGGCAAAAAGACTGAGCGGCAGCATTTGTTTTCAGCGTGAATGCCGTGAAAATCACACAAAACACATCTAAAACGGGAAAGAGCTTTGCGATTGACTGTACAACTAGATTTGACCAGAAATCTGAGGTACTGTATATTTTTACAGACTGCAAAAAGCTACAGAACAGACTATATTCTGCATAATTGGATGTTTTTAAATAAACACTGACAAAAAACTATACAAGTTTTAGGGCTGGACGATATGATGATATACAGTATAACATTAATGTAAGTGATCACTCGGATTTAGACCTATCTATATTGTATTTATATAAAACGTTTACAGGCAAATTGTCTTCATTTATTTCCCCGGCGTCGAAATCAGGCACATATAAATGTCAGGAAACACGATTCCTGGCTGCATGTCAATATCCATGGATCACTGGATCTTTGATAAGTTGTAAGGAACACTATATCGAGTCCAACTTTTAGTTTAAACTGATAATAGTTTGTTTTACTAGCGTTAACGCAGTTTCCCCTATTAACTCCAGTCACGCAGCAGCTCTTCTGCCACTCAGTCCCGCTGAGGTGGGCGTGTTCCGGCGGGGAAGTGACGTTAATGCATTCCCTCTATAGATAAACGGTTGTATATATCGATAATATATCGATAAAACAATAACTTTAAAAACGGTATTACTCAGTCATTTATTCAGTTATATTAAATGTTTAATCAGGAGAAAACCGTATCTCAAAAGCTAACAAGCAGCAGTAGCATTTTCAGGTAACAGCGTATCGATATTCTTATATAATAATAGAATAATAATAATAATAATAATAAATGTACCATTCAGAAACGTTTTGTAAGAGTCGTGTTAGGGGAGGTTCTGCTTGACTCTCTTCATTGCCGCTTTCTGGGTCTGATTCTGGCTCAAACTAATCAACACCATTATTTACATTTGACCAGAGCACATGCAACTTTCGCCCGTAAAGGTAATGGGCGTGAAGTTTCCGGACAACGTGCACTACGCAGTTTAGCCAATTACAACACACCGGCCCAACTAACCAATCTGAGCCCATTGCCTGTTTCTAAGGGAGTGGTTTCATAGAATCAGGAAGTCAACCGGTCGTTCAAATGACAGGAGAAAGCGGCTTACAATAAAGGTGAAATTTATGTTTAAAATTAGAATAAAGCTAAAAAAAACACGAAGACATGTTATGTTGCACCCCATAAACACAATCGTGCAAAGAAAAAAAGCAGAAACCAACCCTAAAAATATGCACTACCAAAACTTTAAAAGTCTATTGTACCCAGCAAGGCTGCATTTATTTGAGCAAAAATATAGCAAAAACAGATATAATAATTGTTATAATAATAATAATAATAACATAGAACAATTGTTATTTATAATTATTTATAATATTATATATTATTTATTTATAATAAAATTAATAATTTTTTTAAAAATGTAATTAATTTCTGTGATAGCAAAGCTGAATTTTCAGCATCATTACTCCAGTCTTCAGTGTCTTGTGATCCTTTGGAATTAATTTTCAATATGCTGATTTGGTGCTCAAGAAATATTTCTTATTATTGTCAATGTTGAAATCAGTTGTGCTGTTTAATATTTTGTGAAAAAAGTTTTTTTTTCTTCCTTTGATCACTAGAAAGTTCAAAAGAACAGCATTTATTTGAAATGGAAATCTTTTGTAACATTATAAATGTCATTACTGTCACTTTTGATCAATTTAATGCATCCTTACTAAAAAAAAAAAAAAAAAAAGATTTATTTTACTACCACTTATAGGTTCATTTTGTATATATTTTGGCTGCTACCAATAATAGTGCAGTACTATTATTACTAGTACATTTAACACATTTTAATGTATTCAGTTCCTTTTCCCCTGAAAGTAAGTGCTGAAAACTGAAAAAAAAGACCATAGATTCTCTCCGGGGCTATTTATAAGAAGTGATGGCCACTATAGGTAAATAAGGACACTCACACAAACAGTCTCCTGTCTGCCACTCCAGACACTGGCCGTAGGGAAAGGAGATGACGTAGGCATTGGAGTCCACACAGCGTTTGGTGCTTCCACACCACATGCACTCCATGGCCTGGCTGGTGCAGTTCTCACAGGTGGTGCGCAGAGAGCAGGGCATCTTACAAGGGCGGGCGTTCTGATTCGGGCTCACTGCAGAAGAGGAAATATGTATGAGGTTACTGAACAGGGAATGCTTATGGAAATGGGCACATTTCCAAGCCCTCACTGAAAAATAAAGGGAATAGGAGAATGGAATCGGTACTCACCGACTGGTTTCTCACAGATGAGGCCGTCTGTGTTGGCTGTGCAGGGATTGGCCCTGAGGCCAGACACCTGAGCTCTTTCCAGGTAAGCACAGAAGCCTGAGTCATTGGGCTCACCGGGCAGCCACTGCAGAGAGGTGTTAGTGAATGAAGACATGTCCTCCCAGCCCCAGTATGACACGTTGATCTTCCTCAGGCCAACCCACGGGGACAGTTTCTGCAGGACAAATGCAAAAGAATCACAGAAAAAGTTAACAAAATTAGGGACTAAACTAATTTTGAAGAGAGGATGCATCAATCATAATTATGTTAATAGAATGTGAGTATACACTACCATTCAAAAGTTTGAGGTCAGTTCCATTTTTTGTTTTGTTTTTAATTAATACTTTAAGCAATGAAGCCTCAAATTGATCAAAAGTAAAGATTTTATAATGTTAAAAAAACATTTCTATTTCAAATAAATGCTGTTCTTCTGAACAATTAAACAGCACAATTGTTTTCAACAACGATAAGAAATGCTTCTTAAGCACAAAATCAACATGTCAAATTGTAATAATATTTCACAATATAACGGTTTTACTGTATTTCTGATCAAATAAATGTAGTCTGTAATGTTATGTGTATAGGTTTTGTTCATGTATCATAACTGAAAATAAAACCATATAAAAAAATAAATAAATGCAGCCTTGGTGAGTTTAAAACTTTTTTTACAAAAACTGATCCAAACTTTTGAATGGAATAGTGAAAAAGCCAGTATAAATTTTGGACACACTTGACTAAATTTATGTTTTTCATGATCTTAAAAAAAATTAGTGGTGGGCATAGATTAATTTTTTTAATCTAGATTAATCTCACTGTAATCTTGGAATTAATCTAGATTAATCTAGATTAAAATAGCTTTTGAATTCTGCCGAAGGCATTCAGAATATGTGTGCTACCCAAATAAATAACCTCGCAGGTAGTTTGTAAGATGGGCAGGGGCGGAGCCAGACTCTCAGTACAGTGGGGGCGGAGCTTCATCATGGGGCCCTCTGCGACCAAGTCATTTTAAAATTAAAACCGTAAAAAAAAGTAACATATCTGATTAATGCATATGTAATAATGTGTCACTTGTTTAGCCAAGTAAGCTTATGTTAAATAAAACACAAAGACTAACTCGTTCTTTTCTTTTTAATGCGCCCGATTTATATTTTCTCTCCAAATTTCGTAACTATTCTCTAAATTATACATTCGCACCTCACGCCACCCACTGTACTCCTGAGGCAAGTAGGCCTACCTTATACGCTGTGTTAAGGTTCATTTATGACTCACAAGGCGAGCTCCAGTTCACGCGCCGGCGGCTCCGTGTTGTGATTATCTATTGTCTGCTATATTTACTTCGTATTTATTAAATCCAGGCAATTGGTTGATGAAACATTGATTAAAATTAAGATACAATTAATACAAAACGAAATTCACCTTAATGAAAGGCTTTGTGCTTTATGTTTGATGTCTCTGTGAAAGTTTTAAAGCAGTTTTTCAGTGCCGTTTTTTAAGAGCGGTAACGTCCGTAACGGGGAACTGTCACGTAACATTTTTTTTCCCTCATAAATGCGTACACGAAAAATAAGACAAAATGAATATTTTATGTTCTGTGGAGAGCCAACCCTTCTTCATCCGGTGGTTAGCATTACTTTTTGTACTTTTGCCACCTAAAAGTTAAAGTTTTTTTTGTGTCACGTCCATTACGGATGTGTATTTCCCTCATATTAAATATAAAACGCATAGACTGATATTTTTCTAATGTCTGGACTCCTTTATTAAGGGAGTATGGATAAACAGACGTTTCAATATATTGGTATTAAATGCCCCCTACAGTGCAATTCGGCTAGGTATACATCTGCGCTAAAATATCAAGGTGAAAGTCATAGCTTGCGTAGTATAGACCCAGCTCCCAACCCAACTTTGAGAATAGATTAACAGCGATATTTTTGTTTTATCGCCCGATAAGAGTCTCACGTTAACGCAGCACGTTAACGCCGATAACGGCCCACCACTAAAAAAAAAAATGTTTAAAGACTAAATGATAAAAGACTTGGATTGTGTCTATAGCCCTATTCGGACGGTAATTGTTTCTCATGGGGTCGTACGGTATTTTCAACATTTACAGGGGCTAGTTGGTGATTTTATTGCCATCATTTATTGCAATGTCAGTGTTTTTCTCCCACCACCCGTGTCAAAATCCCTGGTCGAATTACCTACTTTTTAACAAACAACAGGGTCATGTGATAATTTAACTGCCGTCCGAATCCACACCACTGAGTTTACAAGAGATCAATTCAAAATTCACTGTTTAAATCTATTTTGACCACTGCTGAGCACCGTACGATAACTGTTGCGCTTCGCTGCAATTTTCATGTTTTTTAAAGATGTACACTTTTATTATTGAAATGTTGGAAAGTATTTACAAGAACAATATTTCATCACCGCTCCACCTCAGCGAGTGGAAGCTGTTAAGAACAAAAAGGAGAAAGAGAAGAAAAGCATGTAAAGATTTGAAATGGACCATTATGCAACCATGCAGCAACAGATATGAAATACCTTTTTAAAATATATATATATATATATATATACCAAGCAACTTTATTTACTTCATGTTTATTTACTTCATGCTGCATTAACCTTTTACCGTTAATTTCCACATTTTTAAAATGACATCATTTTGAGTTAAAAAGCAAGACAGAACACCATTTCAACTATAGTGTGTCTATCTTCCTATTTTTAAACAGATTTTTTTTTTTTTATCAAATAATAAATAGGATATTATTTTCCTTATTATTCCAAGCATGAGACATTTTATTTACAGCAGACAATCATGTGAATAACCATGTGAGCAGCGTGTTCCTTGATTCAAAGGATCACAAAACTTGTTTCTTCACCGTGAATAAATCGCCATCCGAATGTTTTATCATTGAGGTGCAATGCAAATTAATTTTTTTTACAGACGTCCACATGAGAAATATTTACCATCCGAGTAGGGCTTTATTATGATTTTCTTTACAAAACTACCATTTTACTACAACAAAACGGTGAGTTGAATCACATAGCGAAAGAAAATAATCCAACAAGTGGTCAGCATACATTTGAACTCCTAAAATACTGTTTTAAAAGCATTCCAGGTGGAAGTTGGTTGTGAGAATCATGACCAAAGTGTGGAGAGCTGCAATCTAGGAAAAGGCTGGCTCCTTTCCAGAGGCTAAATATAAGATAGCATTGATTTGCTTGCCATTATTTGGTCACAACATAATTCTCATACTTGTATTTGCATTATTTCATAGTTTTGATGACTTTACTACCATTCTAGAATGTGGAAAATATTGATAAGGAACGAGAATGTAGGTCCAAACTCCTAAATGGTAGTGTACATATGAGCAGACACAAACCTTTCCCTTCAGCAGGTACTTCTGTAGTTCGTCCAGCACAAAGTCCACCTGCTTGGCTGTGGTAAGGGAGGCGATGTTTCCCTCCAGGTTCTTGCAGTAGTGCTGAGCATTGTCATAGCTCTCCCTGCTGGAATTGATCTGAAGACAGGCCTCCCCAACATTGCTCCAACCGTCTCCACACAGCTGGGCTACAGAGAGTTCATGAGATGTCGACGAATCAGGAGCTTTTATCTCAAGCCTCATATTTTTTCCATTTCTCGTTTGATCTCTGCTCTTCAGAGACAGCAGGAGAGCTCTTAACATGATGCAAATTACTCTGTAGAACCAAGTGAAGCTCTAAAAGGGCCAATAGCTAATTCAAGCAAAGTGGCCGGTTTAAGAAATTTCCACAGTGGTAAATGCCAGGCACAATCAGAATGAATCATTCAGCAAATTTACAATTCAAAGAAGACAAAAGGTATCCTGATTGTCAAGTTTCTTCAGGTCAGAATTTACAAAGAGCACAACACCCACAAATTCAAGTACAACCAAAATGAAATTACGAAACAAAAATAGAAGAGGTGTCTTTAAATCTGCCAAAAACAGGCTGTTTCAAAAAACTAGTGACCTTCCTGTCTAGACAACCTTTTAAGGTGCACTCCTGACACAAAGGCCCTGTTTAAACCTGATATTAAGATGCGTCTTGGTCGATCGGATCACAAGTGGACGACGCTAAATACAGGTGTAAACGGGTTTTAAAACGTTTTGAGCTTGTCCACTTTCAACCACTTCCAGAGGTAGAGGACCCGATTGCTTTCGTAGTGTAAACGCTCATGTGGTCGAATGTTTTCGGACAGCCACAAAAGACTGCCTACTCTCCGCCTACTGACCTAACACGTAAACATTATGGGAAACGCGCTAGCCAGACGGGATTTAAACTTTGTCGGCAGGAGAATCAAGTTTGGTTTGAAGACGAAAAACGTACCAAGCACAATGCTCTCTCACCATTCCTGATTTCTAACACACACTATCGCATTCGGCGTGATCTTGCGGCTGTCAGAGCAGAAACGAAAGCTGCTGCTTCCTGTATGTGTTACCGTTGTCTCTGGGCACGTTCATATATAAATTGTGCGACCTTATTTTGTCCATTAGATCGAAAGATCTATACATTTACCCGCCCATAGACCCTGTAATCGAAGGAATCAGGACAGAAGTGGTTGACAGTGGACAAAAGAAATCGATTAAAACACCGGGTGTAAACGGGTATGTGTCTCCCTCATCTACTTGTGATACGATTGACCAAAATGCATCTTAAAACCAGGTGTAAACAGGGCCAAATGCTGCTCCAAAAAGAAAGCTAGCTTCTTTTGGCCAATATATAAGACCACAATGCACTGTAGTAAGCTCACTGAATAAAATGAATCTAAGATGGCAGATGAGTGTGTATAAACTCATTGAAATTGTCTATTTTACCCAATATAAGTATGCTACATATTTTTATGCTCATCATGTCCTTAACTTGGCAGCATGTTAATGGCAAACTCCATTGGAATCAATTGTGAATCATGTGTGAAAAATGCTTGACAAGCCCAATGACCATCAGTCTCTGTTCACAAAATAGAATAAAAAATATCTCCCACCATCCTCTGCCGTTCTTACCAGGAAGGGTGTGGCATTCCTGCTGCTGAGGATCCCATTGGCAGCTGAGGTTGAGAGAGCAGCTCTTGCAGTTGGCCATCTTACTGCAAATCTGCTCATTCCTGATTGGACAGTTGGTGAAATTCTTTACAGTCTAGTGAAAAGAAAGTCAAAAGAGTTTTCAACAAACACAGGACTACTAGCACATAGAGTTGTGAAGTGTAGCATTGATGCCCTCTGCAGGCCGACTTACAGCAGTGCAGTTACTGAGAGCTGAGATGCATTTCTTGCTGTCACACCACTGACATCCATTAGTGTTGGCGGTACAGCTGGTGCAGTCTGAGAAGCGGTAACATCTCTCATCCACCGTGGCTAGAGCAGAGACAGATCGAAAAAACAAAGAAGAAAGGCTGAGATGAAGAGCTCAGTGCAAAAAACGACAGTCTTGAGTATTAATATCCAACAGTTATGAGGCATACATTAATCTAGAGAGACATCTAAACTCTTCCAAAGCCAACTCTCATATCAGACCTTTAACCGAAGTAGAAGAGAAACATTTAACACTTCAAACACCTTCCATTCCCCATTTACTTCTAATCGCATGACTTCAGACAGTGGGACTTATGTAAAGGATCAAAGAAGCCTCTGTTCTACGTCTCTCTGCTTTGACAATGCTTTATTCAATATTTAAAAGTGTCTCCATGTCCTTACTTCACTACAGAAACATTTGCTTCCCGGTCCTTGGACTTAAAAAGTTCTCTCTCAAACACACCTACATTTCCTGTACAATTAGTTGAACCAGTAAAGACTTTTACATTGTTACATAACGTTTCAGTCACATTTAATCGATTTAATGCGTCCTTGTTGGATAAAAGTAATGGCTGTCTCTCCAACAGCAAAAACATAATTGCAGTGATTACTACAAACTCTGCTACTGCAGTGAGAAACCCCGTTTAAACCCACAGGCCCTTCTCCAATAGGCTCTATGCACGAACGCTGCTGATGTATTTCCGGTAGAATCTCAGCCAGTATCTTTACCTCCGCATAGCGCGTTCTATAGCGAAGAGTACTAGCGGCCAAACTTTAATAAAATTCATTTTCTCAGAAACGAGACAATTTTAGAAACTGATTCGCTAGTCGGATTTCGCATGATATGAGAGATTACTCACCATCAAAGTTGTCGCTGTAGCTCGAAATATATAATTTAATGCCGTTCTCTTTCTTACTCTTATGTGTGACAGCTAACTGCCTCACAATATTGTTAACATCATTCATGTTAACCGCTGGAAGTTCTTGTAAACAGTGAGTGTAATTTGCCATTATACCATTGTAGCAGGTGACATCAAGGGAGTAAAGTTGTGAATCAAGGGGGTGTGGTTAGCCTAGTATAAAGCTCAGTGGTAGGAACGAGAATAGTAGGTGCGTTTGTTTCTGGCCGGCGGAAATCGATCGACACTTGTGGTGTTCATATGCGAGAGGTTCGCCTGTGGATTTCTTTGGATCTTTGAGACAGGTATGAGTTGATTCGAATTATTAAATTGTTTTAATATGGGGTGATTGTTTTAATATGAATAATAAAGTGGTTTTAATGTTTGTATTTTCAGCTCTATGGAGCCCATTTGTTGCTCTTGTTGTAATTGAATTTGTTTGGGTTTTTTTTGTTTGTTTATTTGGTTTGGGTATATTGTCTAGTCCGCCTGGGTGATTGAGCTGGTAATCGGGCCCAAAAGAAATGGGAAAGGCCTTTGGGGCAGACTAGTTTTCTTTTCTTTTTGTTTGTTTGTATATTGTTTGTTCCCCCACTATTTATTACTGCAGCACGAGGATGCTACTGGCTTAGTGTTTGAACAGAGGAGCTACTTTTGCATGTAATTTATTTTGGATTAACTGAGTGATTCACAAGGTTTTGTTTGATGAATTTACCTTGTGGTTTTTTTTATTGTGTTTGATTCTTATTTTGCTGGGTGGTTTAGAGGCTCCTTCTGTTCGGGTAGTTTGTGATGAAAGCATCCTTTTGTGTGTGATATACTTTTTGTGTAAGCCAAAAATAAACCTTGATGATTTTTCTATTTAATGAACCTGAGTCGTGTTTTGTTTAGTTAACGGTGGGTCATGTAACACCATGGTATGGGTGAATACTCGATTCTGATTGGCTGCATGGTGTCCGTTAAAAAGTGATAGAGGACACCTAGTAAAGTAGTTCTGGTGAAACTGACTGTTTACCATTCGAAAATAATAAATAAATGCGCTGCCTACAACAGCTGTGAGTAACCATAGCAACAGGCAGTCAAAGTATCCGTTTACAATTTGCTCTATCAAAACAAACATCTAACGTTAGTTAGATATTACATAGCCTACTAATACAACAATGAGCGACTTCGTTATTTCTTTTAACATTTATGGAGAATATGACAACTTTGACGACTGGGATGCTGCTGAAGAAAGAAAAAATGTAAATAAAACGGAGAAACGACACAGAGATAACACCGGGAGCATGTAGGCAAATGACCCTCTCTTTGATCTGATTAATTTATTGCCCTCTATAAATGCGCAAATCGCTGGAGCGCAGAACTAATTGTTTTTTTTTGTTTGATTGTTGTTTGATTTAATTGTTTTATGTGTAATAAAAAAATAACTATGCCTACCTTTGTGTTTCATGGAAAAAAAAAATGCATTTTTGAACCTGAAGGGTTCTACAAGCTGAGCGGACTATAAATATCTCCGGTTGCTAAATAAACCGTCAGGCAAGTTATTATTTGTAAAAACTAGATTTAGCCTAATTAAAATATAAACTAATGTTTTGAAAATGTTTTATTTGGCAAGTGACCATGGTATAAGCAGGTTAATGCCCTCCGAGGTGTCCATTGTCAAGTTTTAATGGACTTCGGCGGAGGCAACCGTCCTCCGCTGCGCGTTGGCCGGTTCACACCTCGCCGTCGTCCATTAAAACCTGACAATGGACACCTCGTCGGGAATTAACCCTTACTTATCTCCACCTAATGCAAAAACGGCTTGCGACGCAGCACCGGATGTATGTAACTGGGCGGGCTGAGACAAAACACAGAAGCGATCGTGCATAGAGCCTATTTTGAATGTTTTTATTATTTAATATATAGTTTGTTGATTTTTAAAAAATATTTTAAAAAAATACAAATAAAACAAGTATATCCTTTAAAAAATACCAAACATTTATTACAACACTAAGTTTAAGTTTAATTTATTTAATAAGTTTTTTTTATTTATTTAATGTCACTGATTTAAGTTTCACCAACCTTAAGTAGATACAACACTTACACTTACTTTTATTTCAGTGACTGATTTATCAAGTCTTTTTGACTGATTATTTAAAAGAACTGGATCATAAACATAAATCATTGAGAAATCTGACAACATGAGTGCTTCCAGCATCTTGGCGTTATTTCAAATTCATAGTACACAGTCTTTATCGCATTCGATTTAATTTAGACTGCAGGTTCACATTTTTCCCATGGCACTTGAGATTCAGCAGCGGCAGACAGGGGTGAAGAAAACACTGACACACACGCAACACAAACAAGGCCAGCACTGCCAGGGAATATCCCAGCATGCACCTCTCAAGACCTCAGGTTTGAATTTCAAATCAAAGAAAACAAAGCCAAATACTGCATTAGCTTGAGGTCCACACACTCACTCTCAAAGACTAAATTCTGGCTGGTTTTGTGTGGTTGGCTGTGTTCTGACATGTGGCAAAAGATCAAACAGACTGGCAGTCCTGCAGAGCTGAGGAGGGCTGTGGGAAACTGTCCTCTGCGTCTGCTTCAGACAGCTTGTGCCCCCGCCATTACTCTCTCATTAACACAGCCAGTGCACGATGTAGCAGACAAACCCAAGGGCTTAGATCAATACACACAAGACTGATTTCTTGGCTTGGGCATGGTAGAAAATGTTTTAGCTGAGGGTGGCAGCTTCTAAGCCTCTTCCAGGTACCTACCAGCTTTGGCAGGGCAGAATGGAGCAGGTGTAGCACTGTTAGTGAAGCTGGGCTCCCAGGACACGCAGCGGCCCCCTTTCCAAACGCAGCGCACGCCAGGGCCTGCAGCCTCACAACGCTCCTGACCCAGGAAAGCCTCACAGCTGGGCGGCCTGTAGATCAGTACGTCATTCAGAAGGACGCTAGAGAACCCCCCAAACACATACATGGATCTAGAAAGAGAAGAAGATAAAGACAGTTGAGTAGACAACAACCTTTTGCGAGAGTGTGTGTGTGTGGGGGGGGGGGGGTCTCACCCATTACTGGTTACTGCTGTATGTCCAAAGCGATTCACGTCTCTGTGCAAGTTTGGTTTGGGAAGGACCTTCCACTCGTCACACGCTGTAAGAAAAAAGGCACATGGAAAATTTATTAAATTATTGTAAATGACTTATTTCATGCCCTTTTCAATTAATTTGTGATTACGGCAAGACTTTAAAAAAAAAAATGGTTTGATTCGGACTGCTGTGGTGTGAACCGGTTAACCATATCATTAAGTAGAACCAGTTTAGGAATGATTTGCTCATAAATCACTATGCAATAAATTCATATTTTTGAACATAGAAACAAAACTAAAATGTATTTTCCCGAAGGGATTCTCCATGGACTTTATTAATTATAATAAAATGTTTCCTGGACAACACAATTTTTCAATTATCTGATATTTCTTTGGCTTTCCATGTGGGAATGCTGACAACTGTACACTACCGTTAAAAAATTTGGGGTCAGTACTTTTTTTTTAAGACATTAATACTTCAGCAAGGATATATTAATTTGATAAAAAGTGACAGTAAAAGACTTTTACATAATTACAAAAAAAATAATATTTCAAATAGAAGTTGTTCTTTTTAACTTTCTATTCATCGAAGAATCCTAAAAAAAATCCACAAAAATATTAAGTAGCACAACTGTTTTCAACATTGATGATAATGATAACTGAAGACTGCAATATTGGCTGCTGAAAATTCATAAAAATTCATTTTTTTAAAACTACATTTTTAAACTAATTGAAATATATATAAATAAATATAGTGTAATACTAGTATTTCACAATATTAGCTTTTACTGTATTTTTGATCATATAAATGCATCCTTTTAGAGTAGGGATGGGTATCGATAATAATAAATAGTAAGTGTATTTTCTTAATTTCTCCAGTACCGACAGCAGAACCGATAACGTCAGAGCTTATCGATACTGCAGTCTTTCATTATTTAGCCCCGGGGCTCATTTAATACCAGGTTTTGGTACCCATCCCTTTTGGTGAGCAGAAGAAAATATCCTTCAAAAACATTAAAAATCTTACAGACCTCCAACTTTTCAACAGCAGTGTATGTCAAAGGTGTAGCAAAGTACCAGCACAAACCAATGTCATAGGCGAGAAAGTCAGCAGAGAAGCACTTGGCTCCATTGCTAAGAGACGTGTCATTATGGGTATTTCCTCCAAAGATGAGTAGAGTTCCTCCCAGCAGCACAGACGAATGCAGGTAACGTGGGTAACCGCTTTCCCTAAGAATCGTCCTGTGACACACAACAAACAACATCAAACTGATGCACCAAAACTGAAACTAACTGAACTATAGCCTGTTCCTCTACAATTTTTTTCCCTTGAATATGTATGTGCACTCTTACCAGGTGCGGGTCTGAACCTCATAGCGGTAAAGATCATCCACCAGGCCATATTTGTTTGCTGGGAGAGATTTGTAGCCTCCGTGGACGTACACGCTCTTGCTACCGCTGTCGTACACACTGCTATGGCCATAACCACCCTGAGCGATTGCTCCTCTAGTCTCTGGCACCAGCCAAGTGTTCGTCCCTGTGCACAGAAACAAAATAACTTACTTTAAAAGTGCACCTTTAAGTCAAGGATTTTCTTTAAACGTTAAACACGTTTTGCCTCTCCATAACCAGTCTGTGGAAATTTGACAGTGAGCATGTTTCGGTACAATGAGTGGAATAACAATGAGTAACCTCATCCCAATAGAATATGGTTTGTGGTACGAGTTCACAACACTTGTAAGATCACTTGAGAACATAAAGATTATGCCCTGATCAAAGAGTTTAACATGATTAAAAAAAGGTACAGATTATTCAAATGCTTCAGACTGAGAGACACTGAGTCTCTGGATACATTATTTGTTCATGGGTCTTTGCAAAGAACCACAGCTTCATCTACTGGACCACTTGTGTAAAATAAAAAAATCGAATCCGTTTCAACCCCTGCAGACCTACTTGTTTTACTGTTGCTCTCAAAAGTTGCCTATATTGTCTTTAAAAAAACAACAATGTACAATCTGTGTTGTTATTGTTAACTAAAACTAAGTTAATTGAAAATTAATTAAATTAAAAACTAAAAAAAAACTGAAAATTAGGCCATGGCAACTAACTGAAATAAAAAAAGTTTAAAGTGAAGTACTAAAATTAGTAAAACTGAAATAATAAAAAACTAATAAAAATGACAAATGTGCATCAAATTAAACAAACTAAAATTAAAATGGAAACAGTAAAAAATAAAACCCATTTCAAAATATTACTAAACACTATAATAACACTGTGTACAACCCAGAATTTTTGGGTACTTGCAGAACCTTTCAATCCTAAACAAATACACCATAGTCAGTCACTCACTGATGTTGTACTCCTGAACATTGCTGATGTAGCTGTAGATGGAGGAGTAGCCGAAGATGACCACCATCACCACATCGCCGTTATCCAGCTCGACCATATGGGCGGAGTGGCCTTCCACAGCGTAGACCTGCCCATGGGCTGGCACACTGGGGAACTTCTGCGACCACGTCATGACGGGTATGTTGAACACCCACAGCTCATCTGTTACGTTACTGGCACCCATCTCCAACTTCCCTCCAAACATATAGATGTCATCCTGAAAGAAAAAGATTTAATAAGTTACAAGAAAGTTTTAATCTACTGGTAAATATTCTAAAGTTCCCATATTTTTCTTTCAGCTAGGGCTGCAAAAATTAATGTGTTAATGCATGTGATCAATATCTTGAATTATGTTTCATTCGGTTTTGTATATTTTCTTTATACTGGTGGTCAGAGACTTAACAAGAGCATTTACACTCCCGTTCAAAGGTATTTTTTAGGGCCGGGACTTTAACGCGTTAATTAAGATTAATTAATTACACACTTTAACGCGTTAATTAATTACACAAATTATTTTTAATCGCACTTATTTTTGCACCGCGGAACGTTTCTCACTGGATGAGTTTCGGCGGACCGATTATACTGGCGCACCAACTAGCGTTCATGACGAAGAAGCTGACGAGAACGCTTTGGTTGGCCGGTGGCTGGGAAATGTTGTTACAAAAAACGAACGGATGGACGCGTCGATAAGAGCATGGTTGTGTGCAAGCTATGCAACAAGGAATTCGCTATTGCTATTAGTGTAGTGTAGCAATATGCTATTTTGTTGCAATATGCTATTGCTACACTTAATGGCTATTATGGCTATTAGTGTAGTGCTATTAGTGTAGTGTAGCAATATGCTATTTTGTTGCAATATGCTATTGCTACACTTAATGGCAAAAATTGCACTGGTCTGCTGGACTTGGTTGAATAAAAATAAACAATATTTTGTTGCTTAAGCTTATGTATGCAGTCATTATTCAATGGTATACTAAAAATCCATGTGAAAAAAATTACTTCTCACAGTTCTCAGGTCAAATATTTATGCGATTAAAATGCGATTAATTTCGATTAATTAATTACAAAGCCTCGAATTAATTATATTATTTTTTTTAATCGAGTCCCGGCCCTAGTATTTTTTAAAAATGTTTTTGAAAGAACTCTCTGATGTTCAACAAGGCTGAATTTATGTGATTAAAAATATATATTAAAAACTGTAATATTGTTAAATAATATTACAATTTAAAATTAATGTTTTCTATTTGAATTCAATTTAAAATGTTATTTATTCCTGTGATGAAAAAGCTGATTTTTCAGAATCAATGGATTACAGCCATTTAGACAAAATATTGTTAACACTTATGTTACCCGATATAGTGCCAAGGAGTGTCCATATCTCGGCAGGGGTCCGCTACTGATGGGTACAGTATTCCAGATGCCACTTTCCAGATTATAACTGAAAAGCCACAAAAAAAAAAAAGTTAACATCCTAACACAAGTTCATTTACATATCTAAAGTAAAAAAAAAAAAAAATCCAGACTGTGATGGCTTCAGAATTACACAAATTACCCATTATTCAAGTAGTTAGTACAAGAAGTCACAGTCCGAGTTTTGACTGAAATATCATATCCATATCCACAATGTCGCTAATGCTCCCTATACAAAGAATTCCCTCTGAGAATACTCAGATTCACAGCTTTTATCCTCAAACTGACAGATTAATCAAACTCTACTCCTACCACAGGATCACATTGATTTATCATTAGTATTATTATAATTACTGCGGTTTTATTTTTGGATTATTGTCATTGTATGGAAGCGCATATACGAATAAGCCTTGTGCATAACATGAACTGGGTTATGCTGTAGGCCTACACAGCGTTCTGAACTACCACTTACTTTAGAATCATCTGAAAGTTGCTGTAGTTAAACGTGTAGCCACCGACGACCCACATGACCTTTTCCTGCACAACCGTCTTATGGGATGCTCTTCCAAGCGATGCTCCAAAAGGCTTGACTGTGGGCATGATCCAGTAAGACTCCGTGGAGGGCACTGTTAGCGAGCAGTCTGGACCTGAGAAAAAGAGAGACAGATAAATCGCTTGTACAATAATCTAAGGCGGAGTTTCCCAAAATAGGGCTTCACAGACCTCTGGGGGTTCACGAGGGAACTGCAGGGGGTTGAGAAGCTTAAATAAATATAAAATTTAAATAAATATAGGTGGACAATTATTAAAAATAAAACTGAAATCGCTATATAGCTTAGCATGATTTTCAAATCAAAGGCAGCATTTAATTAAATAAGAATACAGCATGTTGCGTGTTTTTCAGATTGAAGAGCAGCACTGTGTCGTGTCGCATGCCGTTCACAGTGTTTTCAACATCAGAGCGGCTCGGTTCACAGTAAATGCTGCTTCTCACGAATTCAATCTCTGTATGTGCAGAGTTTAACGTGCAATAAAATGTGTGCTAGGTTCACGTTATTTACACATTCCCATAATTTCCAACATTTCTGTGGATAGGAGTTTACAGCATTTCACCATCATTCTGCCAAAATAAAAGCTTTTAAAGAGAAGAATTTAAGAAATAAAAATGAGTATAGGCTTTATGCCGAACGTCACATGAACAAACAGGAGGGCAAGCCTCGTTCTAACCGTACGAAGCTTGTTTTCGCCGGTAGAACATGCCGAATCGGTGAGGTTATAGAATGTCTGAGAAGTGACGAACTGTAATCTGGTGATTGTCTGCATTGGTTGGTGTCTGTCGGTGCAGTGTGAATTGGCCTTAAGGGGTTCAGTTGACCAAAATGTTTGGGAACTCCTGATAGGTAACATCCATTTCATTATATTTGATCTTATGAATGATGACCTAAACAGAGCAGGTCTGGCAGCTTCTCATGGTCATTACTATGAACATTCACATCTCATGTGTCTCCTCACATGAGGCTTAGTGATAAGTTGGCTAGAAAGACTCATTAAATTAACCTTAAGGCATCCTGATGTCAATGCTCTATCCAGGGTTCCTACAGGTTTCTTCAAGTTAAATTCAAGTCTTTTTAAGACCTTTTTAAGACCATTTATATAAAAAATTAATACCTATTTCACGTCCCTACCAGCAAAGAAAAACAAATTCCTTCAACTTGTGTTCATTTATTTTTCAAATGTGGAATGGGTAAAAGATGATAAGCCAAGCAGGTGTGAAAAATAAAAACATTTCAGTAGGCCACAAGAAAGTTTGCCGAACAATGTTAAGTTGTGTTTTAACATTAGCTAGCTACTTATTCCATGCTGGGAATATGGGGAACTGAGAGACCCCTGAACAATAAACATCGAAAATCATAATAATCGTGGTTGACAAATGAAACTTTTAGTTGTTTTAGACTTGTTTTAGTTTTAGTCTAGTTTTAGTTGACGAAATACAATAAGATTTTAGTGATTTTTGATTTTAGTTTTTTGATTTTCTAAATCTACTGTAAACTAAATCTACAGTAGATTTAGTCGACTAAACTATAATGGTTTTAGGTAAATTGTAATGCGTTAATTAAGAATTTCTCTAAAATTTCCAAACCCATACACTCCCGGAGAAAACATTTATTAACCTATTAATATGTATGATTTTTAAGTTTGAACATGCAATACAGATACAGATTTAACTACTGTGACTTAAAAAAATATCTTAAAATAAATAAAACCACTTTTCCTAAAGTAAAACAGTCTTCTTTTCAATTAATGATAGATATGCATTCTTTATAACAACTTACATACATCATCCTTTATTCTTTCAAGTAGACAATTATTTGTATGAATTAAATATAATTAATCCGTATTAAAGCTATTAACAAACAGTGAATGCTTTTCTCTTTTTATTTTGTTGCTTGATCAAAATTAATGACACAGACCGCATTATGTTTATTGCCACTGTCACTTTAAGACATCGGCCAATGGGACTTTGGACTTTAAGACATGTCCAATGACATGCGGATACGATTGCACTGATGCATACCCGATACAACTGTTTAACATAACCGACATAGTTAACATGAATACTGTCCAAACCGGACATTTAGACATAATGTTGTGTGTATGTGTCCATTCAGACACGAAAGAGAGCTCATCAGTTCAGAACTCGCGCGCTGTATGGTGTCTATGTGCACGGCTGCACGCTTCGGGTTGGTTTACATTTTTACATTTTATGAGACCACGAGGTAGATCAGCACGTTACAGTACAAATGTGTGCATCTAGCACACACGCAGGACATCAGTTCTGACTGGATCGCTTCCCAGATCGACACGATCTAACATTTTCATCTAGTTTTTATTCGTTGAGTCAATGATTTTCGTCATAGTTTTTGTCATTCAAAACTAGGTTTTATTTACTAGCGTCTCGTTTTCGTCAGTGAAGAATGTCGTTGAAGAAATGTTTTCGTCATTATATTCGTCAATGAAATACACTGACATACAGCACAATTTTTAAGACCCAGACATCAAATTTTAAGACTTTTTAAAGACTTTTTAAGGTATTATTTCCGAATTCATAAATTCAATGCTTTTAAGGCTTTTTAAGACCCCGCGGGAACCCTGTCTATCACGCTTTGACATTTTGTGACATTGTGGCAAAAGCCTGATGAGGATGCTGCAGTGATGCAGAGGTGACAGATGCACTATTAAAAAATCAACACCAGGGGGAGACAACACACATAACAACAAAAACTGCCTGAGACACAATGCTCTGTTGGGAACATGAAACTGGAAAGGTCTCGGATTTTCACAGCATCCTGTAGAATACAGGAGAGGAGTGGAAATGAGAGTGGAAGTGAGTAGTACCTTGCCAGCTGTCATTGCACACGCACAGCTTTTCCCCTGTGAGGTCACAGTAGCCGTGATCGGGGCTGCCACAGTTGTTCCTGCAGTACGGGATGTCACAGGCCTCACCCTTCCAGTACTTATCGCATTCACAATACACACGGCTCGCTATTGAGTTCCCCGAGGAGCACTTCCCGTGGCTAGAGCAGTTATTTGGACATGAGTTGATTCTGTCGAGGGAGAGATGAAGAAAGAAGGTTGTGCAAGGGGTAAGTTGGTACACAGATGTACGAAGGGAAACCTGAAATGGGGGAGGGTATATTGAACAGGACTAATCTGTGATTACACTGAGAATAAAACAGGCAGAGAGGTGATAAAATTAAGACCTCTGTGAGATTACGTGTTTAGATATTAACACTAGACCAAATCAGCAGGCTTTCATTAACTCTGTTGTCCCAGCGTGGCTGAATACTCACGAGTAGAAGATTTCAAATCCCGTCAGGTTGTAGGCAGCGTCGCTAAAAAAGTGCAGGAGTGCGTAGCCTGAGTTGGTCTCCACTTCAGGGACGGTCTCGTTCCCTTTCAGTTCGGGGACAATGAGTCCACTGTGAGACAATTACAAAAAAATAGAAGCTGGTTAGGAAATGTTCCCTCAATCTTCCTTAAAAGCAGTAACTTATTCCATTTGTTATGCAGTAAAGTGAAATTTTCCTGTGTGACTCTAGGAATGAGGTTTTCAACTTCCAAAAGAGGTGCAAAGGAGTGCTATGAGGTCCACCAAACATGTGGAAAGGAAAAGACTTTACAAAATAAATTTTTAGGGCTTTCAAAGTTAACATGTTGACTTAATATATTTATTAGATATGTTTTATGCAATAACTTCTTAACATACCTAGTGCTTTGAAATTTATCATGAAAAGTGTTTTACAAATAAATTCTAATATATTTTTATTGTCAGTTTTATGCACTACCGTTCAAAAGTTTGGGTAAGATTTATATGTTTTTGAAAGTAGTCTAGGCTGCAAAAAAAAAAAAGTGATAGTAATACTGTCAATACTGCGATATATTTAGATAAAAAATAAACTTATTTTGAATTTTAATGATATCTTTTTAAAAGGTAATTTATTCCTGTTATGGGAAAGCAGAACTTTCAGCATTACTCCAGTCTTCAGTGTCACATGATCCTTCGGAAATCATTCTAATATGCTGATTTGGTGCTCAAGAAACATTTCTTATTATTATCAATGTTGAAAACAGTTGTGTTGACTAATATTTTGAGAAAACCGAGATTTCAGGATTAATTGATAAATAGAAAGTTTTTTTTTTTGTTTTTTTTTTTTCATATGGACAATATTTTTTGTCTCTGTTGTCTGGTACAAGGTTTGCACTTATATTGTAGGATTCTCTGATATTATTTTGTTGTTATTTATAACAATGCCAAATAAAGAACAATTCAATTCAAAAGAACAGTATTGATTTTAATCTTAAAATGTAATCTTTTTGTAGCATTATAACGGTCATTACTGTCACTTTTGATCAATTTAATACATGCTTGCTAAAAAAAAGTCATACAATTGAACAGTATAGTGTAGATCTAACATTAATAGTGTATAAAAAAAAAACAGAAATTCTGTCAAATTAATACAAAATAAACATATTTTGATCATTGCCATTGGCATTAGTTTAGTGACAATATAAAATCTAATTATTTATAGTAATTGTTAAAAACAACATGCTGTCTTTATAATAACACATTCAATATTTCTCTCACACAGTATAAATAGGTCTTTATGCATGAACATACATAGCTGCCATTATATTTTAGGAAGGGGGTACTTGGCACCAAAAAGTCTGAAAACCCAGTTTTCAGTTTTAGAAAACACACTCACCTTAAGACAGCAACTAAGGGAGCATAAATAGAGTCTCCATCATAGACGTACATGTGGTCCCAGCTACATTCGGTCGCAAAATGGTTAAACCGTAACCTCAGGACTGCGTTTGGGCTGCAAAACAAAGGTGATGACATAATGCTTAAGAATGTGTTTTTGGCTGCATAATCCATTATGAGAACACATTACAGCAGACTCATTTCTGCCAAGTCTGAAGGGTGTAAGGCGGAATGTGCTCGTCCAAGCCTTTTCTGGTAACCCAACACAGAAGAAAACACCCTTGTAAGGGCTGCTGAAGTCTATTTAAATAAGGGGTTATGCAAGAGGGAAGTGTGGGCACAACAAAACCGAGTCGAACTCTGGTGAGAAAGAGAGAGGATGACAGAATAACACTTACTAGCCCTCAATCAGCCAGGTGCACTTTGTTTTGTACTTGTAGTTGATGGGGCCATCTGTTAGGTACCCGGACGGCTCGGTCAACCTGAAAAATAAGATCAGAGTTGCCGTTCACATCAAATCGATCCCGTGGGACTAACAGAACAATGCGATGCGTAAGAAAAGAAGCCAGAGGCGTTGCGGAGAAGTGCTGTTTCAGTACAAGTATGCACAACGATGAATATGGTTTCTGTGGTTACTTATGGCCATATGGACACAGGCTTGTGTGGGAGCAGATCCACAATGATTCACTGCTGTAAATGTGCTCATGACACAGGCCTAACCAATCAGTTGCCTCTCCCTCCGGACTGCAACAGGGCCATCGGTCCATGGAGTGATAGCGCTTGGATCCATATTGCATCATCATGGAACACTCAGGGCCTGTCTGTGTCGCGGACCACATTAACCGCATCAAGCTGGCGGCATTGTTTGCCCAGACAAGGCCTATTGTTTGTAGATGCCGACTTAAAGGGATGCATCGTTCTAAACAATGACCTCAATATTCCACAGACACACTCTTAATTGAACACGTTATTGCTGGCTGAACTTCTCTGGCTGAATTCTACAAGGCCATCAATCTAAGTGACATTGCCGAGAGCTTCTGTCCTGCTCATCTTTAAGAGAACTGAGCTGGTGTTGCACTAGAATCTTGGAGTAAAGGAAGCCAACACACATTAATATTCACAAGATATCTTAGCATTACTATGATACTTAAAAGTAAAACTTGTCATTTCCATGCCAAATGGAACTGCAACTAAAGAAATATTCTTGTATAGATGGTGATTAGTACATTCAGAATAAAATGTAAAAGACATGCAGGTTCATTAACTGATATTCTCTACTGATAAACTGGAGATGCTCGCTATCATTCTATCATGTTGCATTTTTGTAATTCTGCACAGTAATTGAATCAGCTCATTAATTCTCATTCATGTCCCTGACAACAGCGCACTAGAGAATGTCATTGAGTGTCCGTTTGCCTGTCTGTATGTTTATCCGTTCATTTCTTTTAATGTTTAATGTAATTAAATCTGTCTCTTCCTCACGTTACAAATGTGTTTCTAGCTAGACTTTTTATAACTTCCTGTATCAACAATCGAGCTGACAGGTACTGTACATTTATCATCTACCTTTACTGGTAAGCTAAAAAGTTAATTTTGCCAATTTTCCATTACAGCGGATATTAGATCCAAATAAGGTGTTACATCACATCACATCAGAATTATGATTAATACAAGAAGGTTTCTAGAAACAATATTGTTGGCTTAATTTAGCTGTCGATGAGGTCAACATAATGCCCATCAAAAGTTCGGAATCAGCCTAAGCAAAGTGGGATTTTGGACAATGTCAACAAATTCTTTTCATTTCTTGGCGCAAATAAATTCACTTATTGAAGCAATTATTTAAAGCAATAACTATTTCTTATTACTTATTAATAGCCATACACTTTTTAAAAGTTCTGAATCGGTAAGATTGTGAAGTCTCATAAGCTCACCAAGACTGCATTTATTTGATCAAAAATACAGTAAAAACTGTTAAATATATTGCCATTTAAAATTAGTTTTTATTATTATTATTTTAGGATAAGAAACATTTCTTATTATCAATGTTGAAAACAGTTGTGCTGCTTAATATTTTTGTGGAAATCATGATGCTTTTTCCCATAATTCTTTGATGAATAAAAAGTTAAAGAAAATAGCATTTATTTGAATTTTCTTGTAACAATATAAAGTCTTTACTGTTAATTTTTGAATAAAAATACATTCTTGCTGAATAAAAGTATTCATTTTAATCATCACACAACAGACCAATTAGAACACACTTTAGATGGATTATACATTATTTCTGTTTTTAATTTTATAAAATATACTTTAATACTTTGTGTTCCCTTATCCATGCAAAAATCATCACAGAATTACAAAGATTCTGACTCTCACTTTCATATGACATATTAAAAACTTTTTCGGGTGCTAGTCTGAACATATCCAAACTCTGTAAATAAAACCTAAATTCATAAATGATATTAATCTGTGCACCACACAGCAAAGTGAAAACAAGTCGTAATTGATTTTTATACCCTTTGTATTAATCATTTCTTTCAGTCTGTGAATCATTCCTCATTTTCCTCACAACAAAATGTAGGTCTATGTGACGACAGCCAACCTAATGCAAACGCTAAAAACCAAGCATTCTTGCTGCAAGTTAAATCGTAGCCTATTAACAAGCTATTTCTCCACTCTGTGTTCTCTATAATCAGACAGTGAGATTTTAAGAACGGTTAAAAACAGTAATCACGGTGCACCACATCCTGTGCCGGGGAGGACACCCCTCAGGCTGAATGCTGGCGAGAGGGATGATTCTTTGTGCGGGCACACACTCAGCGGCCCAGAAGAGAGACAAAAAAGGCAACTGTAGGTGAGTCAACATTTAAAATATTCACCAGGTTTTCATGCATCTTTAATAGCACAGTTCCAAAGCAAATATATCCACCAAGGCAGGATTAATACCTATCCCAACGGCTTAGAAACCACCACTGGACAAGGTTCACTCAGCCTCGCTCAAAGGCTGGCCTCAGGCATTCAGAAAAGGACGGGAAGGGAGTTACATAAAGATCTGCAGAACAGCCAATGCAATATTACAAAAACAAAGACTTGTGCGCTGAAGGTAAATAGGGTCAGTACTACAGTCAGCCATAATAAAATGTTGACACTTGGCAAAGTCCAATTAGAGAGGGCCTCTTTGTCAGCTAACTCAAGCCCAGTTTCCTGCCACCTGAATAGGAGTCCACTGATATCTGCCGATCACTTCCTGAACGTGCCGGTCCTCACAGCCCTCGTCTTCCTGTAGTCGGTGTGTTGCCTCCCACCACTTGTTCGTTTAGCTGTTGTGCAACAGGAAAGCTGTTTTTAGTGCCAGTTTGATGTGGAGGCAAGGACACTAGGATAGGACTACTAAACAATTTAGGTCTGTTCATTTATTTAAAGTCGTGGTATCATCTAGCCCGTATTTTCTCCACTGAACAACTGTTTACCTAAAGATCAAGAATATATTAGCATCATTCTAAACGTGTAAAAGTTATTCTACTGCATTTGACTTACGATTCAATCTAAAACACTGAGCTATATTTACCCTCACACTGAGCAAGCAAGATCTATTCACAATTTGAGAAAGTGACTCCATTAACAGCTGCAAGACACTTAATGACAAAGGGGATTTTAGAGTGGAAGCACTATTTCATTAGCCTGACGTGGTCATACTCAGATTCTAGTCAGACTCAGAATGTGAGTCTGATACTGCTCCATTGGGCTATGATTATGGGGCGTGTTTCAACCGAACCAGGAAAGAAAAGGCCTCTGCACTCAATTGGATAGACTTATCTTCTATAACAGACGTGATGGCGGAATCTACACATCTCAATTCTCCAGCGGCAGCCACCTTTGTTGTAAACTAATTCAACCCAAGCGCTCTTTGGTGACGTGGATGATTATGTTACTGTTGATCATCTGTCCATCATTGTATAAAGCCAACCCTGGCAATTTGATTGGTCCGAACAGCTCTGGTTTGAGCATAGTTACTCCACAAAGGATCAAGTCCAGACCGAAATTCCATACCTCAAATGTTGTGGGCAGGGCTAAGTTTGGCTGGCATCCAGGCTACTATTTCATGGGATTCAAACACTTCTTGTTATTGTCCAGGATGTTTGGGTGAAGTGTGATACAGGGCAAGCATCCACACAGTGGGTGAATGACTGACCGCTCAGTATTACAATTGTTGCCTCAATTGTTACAGTGTTGCCTCTGGTGGACTCACCTTTGTCCAGCCTGCATTTTGCCAATACAGCACATTAGCTTGATCCTGAATGGTAATCTATATAAACTGGAAACAAAAAGCTATTACAGGAAAATGAAAAGAAACTAAGAGATATGTTGGAAAGGAAACTAATGGTAACTTTCTCTTATACTGACTTATATATAATATAATTATAGCAGCCTTTCAAAAACCATGAGCACATGAAATTAAAACAAGGTCAAAATTCAGTTTGGCCTAAATCAAGCAATCTGTTAGGCTTGTTTGATGAAGATGATGTAGCTCACATTGCACTTCAGATAGTCATCTATAAAGATCAACCTAAAAATAGTGCACAGATCATGTCGACTGGCTTTGCTTAATCCAAATACCAAATCATTTCACCAACAACTTTACGGCAGTCTAGACACCACAGACATATTTCAGATGTTCGCACAGGGGTAGTTGCCGTACCGGAACTGACACGTCCTGTGGTGTTAAATATTATACTCATTCTAAAACCATTTGAAAACATTTTGCTAATTATTTTATAATTATTATGCATTCATCTTGTATGACTTCATATTGATGGAGATACTAAATATAATATTTGTACTTTAAAAATGCATTTGTGTCACAGCAGGACTGTTTCAAATGAAGAGGGTGAAAAGCTTAAAAACAAGAAAAGAAAAATAATACAAGAAAAAGTAATCTGGTACAGGAACTATGTCACAACACCTTGTATACATTTTATCAGTGATGTAAAGTATCTGAGTAAATGTAATTAGTTACTAGGGACAGTTCCGCCAAAAATGAAAATTATGTCATCATTTAGCCTACTTACTTACCCTCAAGTTGATCCACCAAACCTGTATGAATTTCTTTCTTCTGCTGAACACAAAAGAAGATATTTTGAAGAATATGGGTAACCAAACAATTGACTTTCATAGTATGGAAAAAAATACTATGGAAGTCAATGGGGCCCATTAACTGACAATAATTTTCAGAAGACATTTTCTTTAAAGTCTGTGAACTTTTATGTCACTCTAATGTATAAATATTGATATCAGTTCAGCATGATGAAGGGGTCTTAACCCTCATGTGGTGTTCAAAACCCTATAACACCTGTGGTGTTCCCGGTCAAAAATGACCGGGCCATAAAAAAAACCTTATAAATCACTCATTATACCATATTTTCACCCAATCTTGGATTCAATCTTTTTGTCAACATGTTCTCTTTCAATTAGGACTGGTTTTATA